TTCATGGTACCATTCAACGCTTTTTATAATTTCATTGTCTTTTTCATCCACATATTCCTTATCTGCCTTCTTCACTAACGCACTAGCCACACATGCTAACTCATCGTTAACATACTCTTTGTCAGCTTTGTTGTCAACATCCTCTTTCGTTGCATATGTTGCATCTGCTCTGTCATGTTCTTCTTGAACTTTTTCAATGACATACTCTTTGTCAGCTTTGTTGTCAACATCTGCTTTCAAAAGAAGTTCATCTATAGGTTTCTCGTTTAAAGTTCCTTTTGTTGGATTTATACAAACAGTATGGTTCTTACTGTCTTGAAACAGAAACTCGTCTGTCAATGGGTTTAATGTCAGTTTTAAGTTTCCTTCTTTCAATGACTCAGATATCTTAGAATAGTTTGAAAAGTTTGTTGTGTTCTTATTTAGAGCTTGCAAAATGAGTTGTCGGTTGTGTTGTATTTCTCTCATAGACGCTGTTTCTTTCGACATTTTTATTCTAGATAAAATATGCTTTCAATAGAAAAAGAAAATTCAAGAGTTGCTACAACTAAACCATTAGATGAACTTTTTACTAACGTCGGTCAAAAGTTTGAGACAGAGACCGTAAAGCATGAAGGCTATCGTTTTGACTACCCACTAAGATGGTTAAGAGACCCATCCGTCACAAAAGCTATTGGCTTTCGTAGAATGAAGTTCATTTCAGAAGCCATACATGGTTTCCCATTTACGGTCGCTTTTGAAGTTCGATACTATAACAAAGAAAAACATACGTATGAGAAATTTGAACAGGGAAAACTTTTACAAGTTAGTTTGCTTGTAAACTTAGAAACAACTCTTCAAGCTTTTCAAGAAAAAATAAACGATATCTATCTCGAATATGCAAAACAGTACAACATTGACGAAGGAGAGTACCATCTCGATATTATATATGACAGGAAAAATGCAACTGTTAAAATCAATAGAATAGAAGACCTTGGAGAAGACGTTTATATTTCTACAAAATATAACAACTTGGCATGGTATAGATTTTGAGGATGTTAAATCAGCCTGCAGAATATCCAGTACACCCGAACTTTTATGAAGTCGAAACCCTAATGGAACATATGAAAATGTTTTCGACTCAGATGCTATTATAGTTCATGCTTCATTTTCTGGTGCACAAAACTCTTTTTTATGCTTGGCAAATGACTTTTACGAAAAACCTACAAAGCTATATGAACCGCCGAGTGGAAGTATTTCAGACTTTCAAGTATGGTTTACTACAGATGGAAGAAAGAGAATAATTCCATTATACCACGCGTTTTACTTAGAACTTAGTTTCATATACAACTACTATCGAACGGTAAAAATATAATTTTAATACGGTTGAGGTGTTGGATTTGGTTGCCAACTAGACTGTGGTGCAGGTTCAGGCTGTTGTATAACAGGAGCTTGTTCTTCTGGTTCAGGGTCTTTAGGTATATATACCAACAAACTGACCTACTCTTTTACCAATATTTTTGACTCCGTTCCAAATTCCTCTTCCGACAGATTTTATTCCATTCCATATACCTCTTCCAACATTTCGAAAGAAGTTTCCTATTCTTCCAAAGAAACCCATTTTACTATATGTAAAAATCTAATGTCCGCCTAGTCTCTTACGTTTCCTGTTGAGTTCCATTGCATTCTTTAACTGGAGCTCATACATTCTATTTCTCCTCTGGTAGAAAACATACTCTGGGTCAACTCCTGTGTTCGCGTCATCTGCATAGAGTTGTTTATATCCCACTTCAGGGTTTGTATAAAACTCTTTCCATCTCATATTTGCATACCATGGTGGCAAACCTAACGCAGCGTCATTTGACATGGCAGTTTGCATTTGTACATCTGTTGGCACTTGACCATAGTTTGCCATTGCAGTTTGTATTCTAACTTCATTTGGAATATTCTCTGGGTTTGGTTGTCCAGGTTGCTGTGCATTCGCTAAGTTCTGTGCGTCCATTTAATATTAGATAAAAATATCTCTTACGAGTACATATACTGAACATTTGCAGGCATTGGTTCATCTTCATATTCTCTGTACTTTTCTGCCACGTCAAATAAATAAATGACACAATGGAAAAAACCTAAAACAAGTAGTCCTATTTCAAACCACATTTACTTACTAATAAAATTTCTTTGTTATGACACTTTCTCCAGTTTATAGGACCTCTCTCATATTCTATCTTGTCATATCTAAACTCATAGTCATGTATGTCCTCTAACCATCTCATAACAGTTTCCAAACCACTTTTATCGGATGTAAAGTAAAAGCATGGATGGTTATGTAAAACGTCTAAAGTTTCTAAAGAGTCTCTCAAAGTCCAGTCTACTTGGTATTGAAAATCCCATGTGTTAAAGAACGGCGGGTCCACTATAAAGAAAACATTTTCCTTGTCTTTATATTTTTCATACAACTCTGTCCAATGACATCTCACAAACTCTATACCCTCAATATATTTTTCTATGTCCTCTTTGAAAACATTTGTATAGTTAAGATATAAAACTTTTGACATAAGTGTTTCAATGTCATGAACTCTTATAGAACCACTATATAATAGTCTAGCAGATATACTATCCCAGTCTATATATTCTGCTTTTTTCAAAACCTCTCTCACAATATTTTTCTTATCTAATGGTATACGTTCCATCTTACCTATAGGTATCTTTTCTTTTAACTCTTTCAATATATTGTTTGTGTCTGGTATATGTTTGAGACGGTCCATATAGTTGTCGAAGTCATTGCATATAATCTTTGAGTCTGGGAATATTGTATGGCACAAATGGGATATATAGAAACTTCCACCGAACAAATCTACAAATGTTAGACCATTCGGTAGTTTCTTAAGTTCTCTCAATATAATATCTTTACATTTACTCTTATTTCCAAAGAACGGTAACGGAGGTTTTGTAAAATTCATTTATATATAATAATAAAAATGTTTTTACCCGAAAAGTGACAGAAAAGTGACAAAGCATGAAAACATATATAATTTGTGAAAAGCGACACATTATATAATGTTTTCGACCCAGAAGAAGGCTTCTTCCCAGAAGCAATGGAGGAAGAAGAAGAGTCCTCCGAATTCACACCAGAAGACTAACAATTTTCCGAATAAAAACTTCATTTATACTAAACATCTTCGGGGCTAGAGGGCACGAAGTGCCTGGAAGCCCCACTACCCTTTTTTTTTTTTTTTTAAAATAATATACGGTAGTGTTTACTAATAGATGAATAGTATATAAATTCTATTAAAATGGATTTGATCCAAAAAAAATATATAAAATTTGATCATAAATAAAATCGTTTTAAATTACTTCTTCATTTAAATTATAACAATTATTTTTGGTTTTAATGTATTATAGTCCATACAATACTATTGTAATCTCTTTTCTCGAATTTAATTTTTCAATTAGCAATTCGAGAAAAAAAATATTACTTAAAGGACGACTTATCACTCCGAAAAAGACCAAAATTAAGGACGTGATTTTTTTGAAAGTTCGCGATTTTTCAAAAAGTCGCAATTTTTTCCCGAATCGCGATTTTTTAAAAAAATCGAAATTTATCGTTCAAATCGCGATTTATTAATAAATCGCGAAAAAATTCTGTTCGCGATTTTTAAAAAATCGCGATTTAAGCTAAAAATCACAATTTATCATCAAAATCTAGATTTAAAAATTCGGTTGCGATTTTGCCTATTATCAAAAACTTCTTCGATAATTTTTGAAATCATGTCTTTGTTTTGCTGATATTCATCTGATTCTTCCGGAAGATATGCATTACTTAATGCCAAATCTATCACTTCTGGATGTGTTTTTCTTAATGATGATATATAATGAATTGCCTGAATTGTATCATAATCGATGTTCATCCCAAGATTAAACATGAAACTTGTTGCCTTGTCAATTGACGGAAGATTTAAAATGCGTTGAACAAGACTTTTAACTCCTATATCTGGAGTTACTTGTTCTTCATACAAGTAAATTTCGTTCTCAACTTTGGTTGTAAATGTTTTCCGAGCCGAAATTTTGCATTGTTCATTTTTCCGATCACCCTTTCCTATCGGATTGTCTTCATCATCATAAACTAGAATATTCTTCGAACTATTGAATTCCAATTTTCCAATATGAAATGCTTTAGGTTTTTCTAAATCGGCCGGTTTTACATCTAAGATGTTATGAATACATGGAATATGAACACCATATAGTTTATAAACATTTTCCATGTTGCAGTTGCATTTACAATGCTGTTCGACTTTATTTTTAATTGCCGAAATTTTCAATTTTCTATAAAGTTTCATTACATTATCATTTTTTGGATCATCAATTTGATTAAATCTCGACATTATATGTTCAATCATTGTTTGGAACTTCAAAAGTTTGTTTGTGCTTGAAATCTCCTTCATTTTGGTATTCAAGCTCCCGTGATTACCTTCCGCATGATTGCTAGGCATGATTTTGACATCTCTCTTAAATCGTGCGATTTTGGATTTGAATTCCTCTTTGCCAAGATTGATCCATTTTTCCATATCAAGAGGATCAACCAATTCATTCTTATTTAAATGATTAACAATTTCGGAGTATGTTTCGTATCTAACATTATACGTTGCTTCATCTTCTGCATATATTACTTCTCGAATCAATCCCCTCATGATTACACTATCTTTAATTGTTTTTAAAAAATGATAAGCGCAAAGCCAATGAATTAAATGGCTACTTTTGCAAAAACTTTCAAGAGAATAGTGCAAATCGCTTAAAATCGGGACATTTTGAATATCAACATCTGTAGCAGATGAAACTAGTCTTTCATAAAAGATTCTGTAAGCATTTGAGTTTTCGCTCAGCCCGAAGTAATATCCCAGTGGATAACCTGTGTTATTAATAACACACTGGGGTAATATAAGTATATACGGAGGAAACGAAAACGTGGCATCCAGTTCGATGGTCTGGATACATTCGTTTTCAATTGCAACCTTAATAAATCAGGTACAAGGTCTGGGATCCAGCATGACCATTGAATTGATTTTGAATTGCAAGTTGCAAGATCTTTTAGCTTATCTTCTAAAAGATGGACATAAACTTTGCCGGGTAATTGTTTAAGTAACGAGCGCAAATCATAAATATCCTTAATTATTGGTGAATTGAAGTTGGTATAACGTGTCAGTTTTTTGCTTAACTTATTTGAAGGAATTACACATTTTGAAATTTGAACTCTGTTAATAACATCCTCGATTAAATAAGGTATATCTTTGTTATTCCTTATTATAACAGCTTGACTCATTTTTTTGTTAATAATTATTGTAAAAGCCTTATATCGATTTCCTTCAATATATTTTCGATCAAAATCAAGTTCTAGAATTAAACGATCACTAGGATCAGTGTCTTTAAAATAGAAGTCTGTGTATTTGGGAGGATTTTCTTGTTCCTTAAATGGAACTATTTTAAGGAAAAAAGGAAGATAATTAAAGAGTTCATGAATCTCACTGAAATTCCATATATCTGAGGCACCAATATTCCAAGTTACTTGGCGTGATTCTTTGTCATAATTATGCATTACTTCAATGTTTGCAATTTTAAGAACATTATATCCGCGGGGAATTTCATTAATCATGCGTTTTGATAAATAATAGCCACTTGCAATGCGATTATATACATTGAAAATGAAATCTGCCTGTGAATCAAGAATATATGAAACAAATTGCTCTTTGTCATCGTCAATAAGATCTTTAGATACATATTGAAAAAATACAGCCATATTTTTTAATCTAGCTGCGTGCCTGACAACAGACTTCATGAATCCTTTCGATCGAACAATATCATCTGGTTTATATGAATTAATGTAAGATATAATTTCCGCAAAATTTTGATATTTTAAATAGCATTCAAATGCGAATGAACTTATACGAATTTTCTTGGATTTAAGTAAATTCAGTTCAAAACCAGCGATCAATGATTTTTTGACATTGAGGATATTGACATAATATTTTTTTCCGCATTGAACATTATATATAAATTTTTGGTTATCGTCAAAGTTTGATAGTTTTTCAGTATTTGCACATAAATATTCAAGGATATTGTTTGCATTGAAAGCATATGCTAATTCTATCACCAAAAATGGTTGTTCCAATATTGCGACCAAATAGTTTGGATAAAAAAGCGTCAAGATCATCCATTAACAAAGTATCAATTAGAAAATCCTTCAATGTTTGTGGAAAAACATGAATATAGTTATATTCTTCTTCATCACCCATATCCTTGCTATATTCGTCTGCTATTGAAGTTAAGTATTCATTTGGTGTAGGGTAAAATTCTAAATTGTCCAGTATTTCATTGACCGCCGGTGCGAAATTTAAGTTATGTATTACAAAAAGGGTAATGTAGTTATAAGCATCACATGTACGAATGCGCTTACATTCAGCCTGAATATCATTAAATTCTGGATCTTCTAAATCGAGGTCTATATTATTCTGAACGAGATATTTTGAATAATTTATTATCTTAAGAATAGTACTATTGATTTTATTTAGATCAATAATACATCCATAATCAAAAGGAGCCATGGCCATTAAACGGAATGTCAATTTTAAAAGTAAACAAATTTTAGGATTAAACTAAGAAGAAATTTAAAATTTAAGTAAGAGAAATAATTTTTATAAAATAAATTTAATAATGAAAACAAAAAACAGAAAAATATTTAAAATTAGAAATAGAGTAAGATAATGTAATAGTGTCCGAGAGATAAAACAGTGTCTGACAGATGCAACAGTGTCTATGAGATGCAACAGTGTCTATGAGATGCAACAGTGTCTATGAGATGCAACAGTGTCTGACAGATGCAATAGTGTGTATGAGATGCAACAGTGTCTGAAAGATGCAACAGTGTCTATGAGATGCAACAGTGTCTATGAGATGCAACAGTGTCTATGAGATGCAACAGTGTCTGACAGATGCAACAGTGTCTGACAGATGCAACAGTGTCTGACAGATGCAACAGTGTCTGACAGATGCAACAGTGTCTATGAGATGCAACAGTGTCTGACAGATGCAACAGTGTCTGACAGATGCAACAGTGTCTGACAGATGCAACAGTGTCTGACAGATGCAACAGTGTCTATGAAATTTAACAGTGTCTGACAGATGCAACAGTGTCTATGAGATGCAATATTATCTGTCACACATAACAATGTCTGACAGATATATCTTTCTATGATTCTAACCCTAATTACATTTTTCGTAAAAACCTATATTTAAGATTTGCAATTAACACCCTTTTTTCTCTTCCAATAATGCACAAAACCAAGATTTGACATCAGATTTAAAATCTCCATCAAGTCTGCTTTCCAAATCCGCTGTCAAAACTTGAATATCTCAATTAATTAATGATATTCAGATATTGCGAATAATCTTTAGGTAAAGAAGAAAATTTAGGTTGTAAAATCATATAAAAATGTAGTTAGAGAGCAAAAATTATGTTTGAGTGGATTTCCATGTCGTAGTGGATCTAGATGTTTGAGTGGCTTTAGATGTATGAGTGGTTTTCAATGTCAGTGTGGATCAAGATGTCTGGGAATAAAAGTAAGTCGTAGGTTAATATAAGTTTGATATTAATGTAAGTATGACTTAAAATGTAAGTCTCGGACGAAAGTAAGTCTGACTTGAAATGTAAGTCTCGGACGAAAGTAAGTCTGACTTGAAATGTAAGTCTCGGACGAAAGTAAGTCTGACTTGAAATGTAAGTCTCGGACGAAAGTAAGTCTGACTTGAAATGTAAGTCTCGGACGAAAGTAAGTCTGACTTGAAATGTAAGTCTCGGACGAAAGTAAGTCTGACTTGAAATGTAAGTCTCGGACGAAAGTAAGTCTGACTTGAAATGTAAGTCTCGGACGAAAGTAAGTCTGACTTGAAATGTAAGTCTCGGACGAAAGTAAGTCTGACTTGAAATGTAAGTCTCGGACGAAAGTAAGTCTGACTTGAAATGGAAGTCTGATTCTAAATGTAAGTTCTAGACTAAAGTAAGTCTGATTCTAAATATAAGTCTGATATTAAGATAAGTTTGTAACTAAAATTAAGTCTTATTCCAAAAGCAAATTTAATTGTATAATAAGTCTGGATCTAGAGTAAGCCTTAGTCTACAGCTATTCTGTGTCAAAAATAAGTCACGAACCATAGTAAGTTTCGGACTAGAGTATGTCTGTAATTCGAATCATTCATATTCTTCAATTATCCCGCCAAAAAAAATATCGTCTTTTTATCATACCATAGTTTTTATCAATCTCGTTCTACTAAAAAACCTTTATATTGGTGATTTCTTTGTTAAACCCGTATTTTTTCATGTGAATCTTATTGTATAAACTCTAAAAGTTCAATTTCCGGTCGAAAAAAACTTGAAAACAATTTGTATTCGACGAGTTAAAGAGCTCTATTTATTCTAAATTTTCCAAAAAAAATTAGATTTCGTTTTTTCGCTTCAAAAAATGTTGTTTTAAGTTTTAAAATTTGTAATTCAAAATTTTTTTGGAAAGATTTACGATTTTTTAATACTGCGAATGAGTTTTATTTTACATACTCTATTGATAAATCATATTTTTGTCGAGATATAACTTTTTTTTAAAAAAATTATATGCAAAGAGTGTTATAGAATTCTAGAAGGTATAGTGCATAATTTGAAGTATACTATCAAATAAAGAAATTTTACAGTTTTTTAGTTTTATTTAGATGTACGTTATTTTAGATGGCTTCGTCGAAAACAAAGCATGTCTGTTAAGTTTATTCTTAACATGGTAAATAAAATGGCAACGAAGCCCAGTGTACTGCGTCTTATGCCGTAGTTTTTGTTATCTTCATACTCAAATACAACAAATACAAATAGATTTATTACGAAAAAACGTATAAAACAAATGATATATTTATTTCTAGACAAGTTGACGAACATGTAGCGCAACTGTATCGCTTTAGAGAACAGTTCTTCCAACACCTACTCATTCAGTGAAAGATTTAAGAAGAACTCTTACTCGACCTTAACTACCTACGCTTTGCTTGAACAATTCCCAACGAGGTTACTATAAGGTTGCAAGTCTTGTCAAAATGTAGTATGCAATACGTTGGGGAAAAATAGATATATACGAACAAACTACTACAGTCTAGCAACTAGTCTTTAAGTGTAATGTATTTTTGCTACAAAGAGCTCATAACGAAGTCAAATTTTGCAATTTGATGTCAAAACTAGCTAGTTGTTGAATCAAATAGCGTTGTGACTTTGTATACATCACGATCTTGTGGTATCAGAGCTGTACTGCTGCAGACTAATTCAACTAAACATGAGCAAGATTGGGATTTCTATTCTCTGGGGTGCGAGGCTCGTCCAAAGTTCAAGCAGCTACAGTGTTTTGGATCACCTAAAGAACTTTGGGAATTCAGTTATCCGTTACTACTCTTAAATTAAAGTAGAGCACTACAGCGAATCAATCGTAATGCCTAGTCTCTCCAGTAACAAGCTGATCTGCTATATTAACTTTAAAGCCAAATCGATTCACATTGTTGCTGGTAAGTCTGATTGCTTCAGATAGAGAGCATGAATTGCTTCTTTATCATCTAATCCCCATCCCCCTTGTTCCCGATTGGATGACATGGACAATTCATCTTTCTCTAACGAAACAAAATGACACTTTTTTGGCGGGTTATTGACTCAGAAAAATTTGAGAGTTAACAAATAATTTTGGCGCCAAAAATAATTTCTCTTAATTTATTAAATTTAATATTCGCACATCCATAAGTTATGCTATTTTTTCTATTTATTTTGTTCTAAAATTCTAAATATTTTTTTTTCATAACATAAAATATAATGTCTAGTCTCATTTACATAACAACATGCCTTAGAATAGGTTTTTTATTCTTTTTGTCACTTTAAATTAAGAATAAAAAGATAATTTAAATTGAATATTTGCGATTATTCTCACTAATGCTGCTTCCTCTTTTATTAGGTAGACAACAAAAAGTTAGCCTTGGACTCCCATATCAGATTTTTGATTGGTTGCGTATATAATGAGCTGGGATTGATAGACGAAAACCCAGTGAGAAAATTTTTGACGCCATTTCAAAAAATAAAGCCAAATATACAATTTCGGATTAGTTTTAAGCTTGTCTGATCAAGGTATATTGTTTTACATATTAGTTTAACAAGTTTGATAGAAATTGTAAAACGATTTAACAACAAAAATTTGAAAAAATATAAATTTTAGAAAATCAAAATAATACTCGATCATCAAAAAATCGAGAAATATGCATTGACATGTATCACTAGAAGCAATTTAATCATCTATTGATATTTCTGTCAAATTGTAAATAGATTTTAAAATTAAGAAAAAATATCAGTGAAGTGGAAGAAAATATATATTCATGAAACAACTTTTGAGAATGTGTCACATATTTAAAATATAATTGAATTGTTTGAAAAGGTGTTTTGGCATAGTATTATTATGTTTGTTAGAAAAGATTTTTTCATTTTGTAACAATTTATCTCTGAAACCAATGTATTCAATTTTGTAATTCGGTCTGAAAAAATATGATGGGTTTATCTTTTACTTCATTATTTTTATTGATGTCAGAACGAAAATTCACTAAGAGCCCCTTCAGCGCGGACGAGGATCGTCTCCTTACGAGCATCGTCAACGACTGTCTCAAGCAAAGCAGGAGTATCGACTGGCGCGTTGTTAGCAGCCAGATGCTCAACAGGAATGCACGTCAGTGCAAAGACCGTTGGGAGGGATACCTTGACACCAAGATCAACCGCGAAGAATTCAGCACCGAAGAGAACTACTTCATCCTCAAGAAGGTCGAGGAAGTTGGCAAGAAGTGGAAAGTCATTTCCAGCATGATGAAGCGTCGTACTGATGTTGCAGTTAAAGCACAATATCGCAAGCTTGTTCGCCGCAACATCACTACCGACAACGTTTTCTTTGTCAACACCGAGTCCTACCAGATGAAGCAGCGCTCCCGTCCTGCGAGCACAGCGATGTCGAACCGCAGTGCGCGCGTGCTGAAGGGGCTCTACTCGAACACTCGTCACCGGTCCAACGCGGACAGGTTCTCGACAACTTTGCCGAGAGCTCCTACCACGGTTTTCCAGGAAATTCATTTCCTAACTCTTCTACAGCAGACTCAAACTTTGAGTCACTGTTCAGTGTCGAAGACGAACTCTTCGACAACTTTGAACAAGAAATCTTTAGCTGGTTCTAAGCTACTTTAAGAGAAACCTTTATATACTAGTTCTCTTTTATTTTCTTAGATTCACAAGCTATTTATTTCTTGTGCTTAAGATATTTAATCGATTAAATATCTCTTTCTTTATACCCTAATCTTATAATTTTTTTTCAAACTCTTTTTTAACCCTCATTAAATTCCATATTTTTTGAAACTTAGCCCGATCACTTCATAATCTTCAAAATAAAATATGCCATTAAGACATATTTAGATTTTAAAATTTTGGTAATTTCTCGATTCCAATATTTTTAGAACATGCAATATGGGATGCTGTATCTTATGTAATTAAATCTTTATCTAACATTTGTTCAACTTTTAAACCAATACTACATGGTTCATTATTGATTTTGGAAAATTCAAATTGCAAATTGTTCTATATGAGACAAAAGATGAACCGATAAATCTCACCATTCTGACAAAGTTGGTCCACATCTTTCAATTTTCAATCTTACTGATTTTAATTAAAAATTTAAGAACTCTTTAGTCGAATTCATCAATTCATTTAAGATGTAATCATCACTTTAAAATATAAGTCATTCACCAGTATATTTTATTGATATTAATACTACTAATTAGCAGACTTTAAATATTCAAGATATCAACCAACAATGACATCGAATAGAATACTTTTATCTGAAATTAACTGATATCAATCATTCGCTTCCATGAATAAATGAGGATCCAAAATTCCCAATCAAAAGTTAACCATTCATAACTTCTAGGTACCACGTGATTGGGTGTTTTATGATTGCTTTCTGTTATGAACTTACTTCATTTAATGTTTCAAAATAATTTAATTGTGATGCTTTTAATGTATTATTGAAAATCGATTATTGATTCAATAAATATGCAAAAAAATTTTAGTACCAAATTTTTGATCAAATTATTCAAAGGAAAAGTGAAAAGTGTTAAGTTTGGAAAAAATATTTATTAAATTCAGTTCAACTTTTAATTTTATGGCAGTTACATCTTTTATATGGGCGGTGTAAACTTTAGAAATAATCTTTCACTCACAAATAGCGGAGGGACGTTTCATGAATAATTTGAAAATTATGCATAATTCTTACCAATTATTAAATCCAATGCAATTTTTTTGTTTAAATTATTTATGCAACTTTTTCTGAGAATGTTCAAAACACTTTATAGTCAGGTCAGTCAACTATAGTTTGCTATAGTAAAATCTTAAACAATACCAAAATAACTTATTGAAAATAGATTCATAGCTTAGACAATGATTAAAAGTCCAATTATAAAAATTTTATTTACAATTCGCTTTCCAATGAAGAATATAAACAATATTTTGTTTATCATCTCCTTCTAGTTTTCAAAGTTCTCAAACAGCGGAAAATTTGAATGCATTCCAATTTTCAATTGACTATGGTTCTCAAACGTTCATTATTATTCACAATTTTATCATTTTTTATCTGAAGCACAGTATGAGCATCAAGCCACATCCAAGGTCCAAATTCACTCCCGAGGAAGACATTAGGCTTAACCAAATCGTCATATCAATGAAGAATGTTGATTGGAATCAAGTTGCAAAGAAAATGGGAAATAGGAATGCAAGACAATGTAAGGATAGATGGACAAAATATCTATGTCCATCAGTGAACATGATGAAGTTTTCACTCCAAGAAGACATTGACCTTTTAGAATTATATGATAAGTTTGGGCCAAAATGGATTTTAATATCAAAATGTTTCAATAACAGAAGTGATGTTGCTATTAAGTCAAGATATATGGTATTAAAACGACGTAGAATGAGTTTACAATACTTAAAAGATATCCGTGATCATAAACGAAAACCATCAGATTTATGAATAAAGCTATAAATTTTATCATTTTTAGAATTAAATGATTATTCAATTTTTCAAATTTTTTTCTTTTCTAAAATATTTCTTATTATGATAACTTCGATATATGGATAGTTGTTACATGAAAGCTACTTTAAATTTGAAAAAGGAAGAATTTTAAAATCGATTGGGAATCAAAAGTAATATTGGTATTGGAACGGAGCATTCGTTAATGAGAATCATAATGGGGTACATTTTAAGCAATTAACTATTCTTATCAATTTAAATCAATTTCTAAATATTCACTAATAATAAGCTTTTGTTTTTCTTTTCAATTCTACTACCTCTATTTATCAAATTATTCGTTCAAAAAATAATTGTATGAAAACTTCGATTCGATTAAAATTTATCAAAGTTGTTATCCATTCAATTTTGAAGAGTGCAATCATAATTATTTTCTCAATTATGCGAATAAAGTAATTATATTCGAATTATCAAATCAACTGTATTTTTTAAGTTTCAATTCAAAATAATTTTTCTCTTAAAATAATCGAATTAATTCTCAATTTAATCGGATGAAGTTTTTCTTCTGAACTGATTAAGCTGAATAGCAATACAATATAAACAAAGAATAATATATCTACTTAACACTTTTTTTCCGAAAATTTTCAATATTTTCTTAGGTTCATTAAAATTTGTTCAATTAATTTCCAAATATCAATCATTTGCCGACTTTTTTGTTCACTCATCATCAAATTGCTAATAGCTCATCAGGATTATGTACAATTCACTATTTTTTGAAATCAGATGATTCATTCTCAAAAATTATGACTTGAAAACTATTGATCATTTAAACTGATTATCAAAATCAATGCTTTTTGTGGCTAAATATCGTTATCCAAAATACAAAACATTACAGAATTTTCGACGAATTGACAATTTGTATCTGATCAATAAATGTAGTTTAAATGACATGTAATTAATGGATGATAGATAATCTCATAGTTTTGAATCGATTATAAATTTTCAACAATTGTGCTCAAATCATGAAACCATAATGAGGAAATTGATCGAAAGACCCAGGTATTATGTAATTTCATCGGAAAAAAGTTTTTAATATTTTTTTGAAATCATTTGAAATTTCCGAAAAAACTCCAGAATCATTTCAACATTTTATTATGCACCCTTCCTTAATTATATTTACAATTCATTTTGGCCATCCATTAATACCGGTTTTGGAATTTTGAAAAAATTGTTTTTCTTACTTTCCTTGTTCGCATAACAAAAGGAATAAACGCATCATACACACCCATGAATAATTATCACGCCGCCTAATGTCCTTACTTGTCACTTTACCGCAAACTTTTAAACAATTTATATTTCTATTTATTTAAATATTTTATTCTTTTTAATAACCACCCTACCAACTTGTCAAACGGAAATATCATTTTTTACTCCATTCAATTTATTTTACATTATGGGTTAAACATTATCTGCTATTTAAGCTATTCTCGTTGTTTATTCCAAGAGAAATTAAATTTTGTTAAAGCAATATTCAAAAATACAAAGACCATTGTTCTATCTCAATTTTGATAGTTCTCAATTTTTTGGTGGGGTAATAAATATTATATTCATAATATTAACAGTATATGCATCATGTCCATTTCTTATTTGAAAACGAATAATATTTATTTTATATCGCTCCTCTATTGATGCCTTTAATTCATAACTCTATTTCATTTACATTGGCTTACTTAAATTACCATTTTATATGATCCATTTAAATCCCGGGGTTTGCTCTCAATTAGCGGGAGATTTATCAATTGAATTTTTGAGAGTCCGGGTTCAATTTAATAAAGTATTCATTTATCATTTTAAAACAATGGAGATCACAGAAGTTAAGGTCCACCCAAGAAGCAAATTCACTAAGGATGATGATGAGAAGCTTATTAACATTGTTTCCAGCTATGGAGCATCAGATTGGTCTAAGATCTCTGCTCTAATGGGAAACAAAAATCCCAGGCAGTGCCAAGACAGATGGAACAAATATTTGTGCCCCAATGTTAACAGAAGCCCATTCTCGATCCAAGAGGACCAACTCATCCTCGAACTTTTTAACAGATATGGAGGCAGATGGGTATTGATTGCTAAGCATTTCAACAATAGAAGCGATGTCAGCATCAAGTCTAGATTCAGGGTACTTCAGAGAAGAAACGTAAGTGTTGAACTTTTAAGGAATATTCCACAGATTATGAAAACAAAGAATAAAGTTCAAGAGATCGACTCATTCCTCCTACAGAGAAAAGAAGAATCTTCTTCAAGCATTCCACAAAGCCCAGCAACAGAAGATGATCTTTTTGATCTCGGTTCAGACGACTTTCTCTTTGATTCAATTATCTTTGACTGAATCTTGTTAGTATAAATATGTATTTATCATAGTATTATTCAAATTCTTTTTTTTATGAAAGATTGACTAATCAAAACTGTGATTCTTTTGATTGGCGTGGCGCGCCCATATAATTCAATTTTGAATCAGTTCAATTCATTGATATTTATTTTATAGCAAATACACCTAACCAATATTTGCAAATTTCATCGTTGTAATTTCAATATTTTATGTAATTAAATATTTTATTTCACAATTAATAACTTTTATCAATATTAAGAGATATCTTTGGTTATTGATCAGGAAAAACTAAAATATTAACGGTGACAACTTGAAAGAAGGAATTTCATTTGCAATTTTTGAATCACAACAACAAACATCAAAAATCTTGGGAATAAAAACTTCCATTAATAATTGTGGAACATTAGAACATAGATGAAGTGTTAAAACCGCCACATTCAATGTCTTTTGCCTTATGAACCAATGCAATATAACAAAAAAAATGAGCAGGAAATGTATGTTATTTTATACACGAAATTGCTACTGATGTCATTGAAAACAATCATTTAAATGAGACATTATGCCTTTAATCAATGCATGAATCGTTTCCATCTAAATTGTGCACCTATATAGACATCTTGTGGTATAAAATAAAGATAATTCCAATAATGGATTATCTTTCTAAAAGTAAAGAGATCATATTTAAACCTATAATTTACAATATGTATTTAAGTGTCAAATACACAAGAAATGCAATTTGGCTACTTTTCATTCGAGGTTTGATATATTATGTTTCTCGAATTATATGCAGTATCAAGAGGAGTTACACCATATCCTTCTTTTGTATATTGTTTTTACTAGAGCAAGAAGAAAAAAATAGACTTGAATCATCCGTTCTAGGGCGAAGAATATTTCGATTATGCTTAGAAAGGATATTAAAAAGTTAATGATATACCAGTATGTTGAGATGATTTGCTAATCTGGAGATTGAATGATGAAATCTTTCAATTGGTATAAATTTTAATAATTTCAATAGTTTTGGTATCAAAAACCTAATTTTAAACAACTTGGTTAAGCATTTTTTAATATTTTAATCCAAATCCATGCTTTATGAAAAAATTGCATATTTTTTTTCTAACTACAATTCAGGATTATTTACTCATATGAAATAACATTGCATATTTAATGCTTTATGAGTTCATACATAATAATTAGTAAATTATTTATTTTTAGTTGAAAAATCAATATTTTTTGATCAAGAATTATCATTTTGGAATAAATCATGAGAAATTCAAGAACACAAGCTAACAGTAATTACGACAAAAATGCTATGGTCCTACTACTCACTGACAAATTCATTTGAAAATTTATTGATGAGTTTTTTTTAAAACTTGAAAAAAATAATTCAGTATCATATGATATGCATTTTTATTAAATATGTTTTGAGATATTTACATCAAAATTTTATATTCAATTTTTTGTCCCCTTCAATTTCTTTGAAATGGAAAAAAATTCATTTTACAATAACCGTTTTTTAAAATGAACAAAGAAAGAGAACAGCGTGAGCTTATCAAACAAAAGCTCCAAGAACAAAGCAACATCGTTGAGCCCATGATGAAGTTCCTTCGAAAGTTTTCGAAGCACCTTCGCCGTGACTTTTTGGCAATTCTTGTCAAAATGGCCTCAAAAGAATTTGCAATTCCCACAGTACGTCGTGATTGGCGCACCAGGAAAGGAATGATTGCGTTCCTCGTTGACAACTGGTCAAATATCAAACACTTGATCATGACAGATACATTTTTCAAATGGTACTGCTGGCAATTCCCAATGTTAGAGGATCTTCTTGTCAACCGCAACTTCGTGATGTTCCTCTACGACAACTGGGCTAAATACAAACAGATTTTAACAAATTCAAACACGAATTTTCTTTTAACAATGAATATGCCTAATTTACTACAATTGATTTCGAATGCAAGCTCGTCGGTGGACACTTTCCCGTCGAATTGGTGCCAGTTGGAGATTGGCATCGGACTTCGCAATTTATTTGGTCATTTCCTACGCGTCAGCAAGTCGCAAGCTGCGCCAGAGATCCAGCACTCGCTCTCCGTACCGAATATTGTCAATTCCATTACAGATTGTTCAGCAAATGAACAAATGTCAATCGGAAGTAGCAATTTAGAGATGAATAGCGAGTTTAGTGCACCAACTTCTGATCCCATGGAAGTTAGCGTAGCTCCTGATCCGACTTATACCTATTCTAACGATAATTTAGATGATTTCGATGATTTTCTCTTGAATCAAGGAGAAATTCCTTCGCCATCTAATGACGTAGACCAAATGGAATTCGCGGAGTATATTATATAATTCCCAATTCCAAATTTCCATCCAAAATGGAAAATTAATTAATTATTTAGAATAACAACCTTGACTTCACCCTAATTAAGGATCGTTGAACGACCCGAGGGGATTGTCGGTTATCCATCGTTTCCTTCAACCAATCGCCAGCAGACAAAAAAAATTTATTTTTTTTTATTTGTCGATGGTCCGAACAGCTGTTTTTTTCACGGGTAATAACAACCAGGTTCCTAGATGATTCTACAAGAAGATTAGGAACATGGCTTCACTTGGTTCCTCAAACAAAAAAAAATCTTTGATTTTTTTTTGTGCGGATCCTTGATGGCTCAAACAAAAAACCGTTAACTTTTTTTACAGACTGTAGTATTGGTTATGATTAATTTTCTACAAGTTTTCAAAACTTTTCAATACCAAAAAAATTTTGAAAAAAGTGACAAAATTTTTGGTATTTTTTCGAAAAGTGACAAAAAATTTGTAGAAAAAAAAGAACATACATAATTAGAATGTGTATGGTTCATTCCAAAGATATCTCGAAAAGTCTGGGATTTCTTTGGAAAAAAAATTAATTCATTTATATTTTGGACGTCAGGGTGACCGATGTCTTTAGATATAGTTAGGTCTAGTGTTAACTCACAAAGAAAAGAAGGAGACCGACTAATCATGCTCTTAGGGCCGGTTGGGTCGAAGAATTTTGGGGATGACCAAGGCCTAGGGCATCTTGTGACCCGGTTCTTCATATTGTTGTACAGGAACTCTATACTTCTCATAAGAATGCGATAGAGTACCCATGTACGACGCCAACCAGTTCATTTTTTTTATAATTTTTTTTTCTTCCACCATATATACACATATTCACACTATACATCATATAACTGAGCTCTATATCCCATATATCCCATATATATTTATATATATCACATTTTTTTTAATATTTTTTTTTTATATATTTTCTTCTTTTAATTCTAGAGCGTGTTCATGTAATAGTTACATGATTTTACTATTCATGAACTTTTTTTTTAATTTTTTAATATTTTTTTTTTAATTTTTTGATTGAGTGATTTTGGCATTAAGTTTTTTCTTAGACTAAGATTGGTTTACATTTTCTTTTTGTTTTTTGAGTCAATTTTCTTTAATGTGATTTTTTGTAACTCGAATGCCTATGGATTTAATTAGAGTATTCATCTCAATCATTAATCTAGTATGTTGGAGGAGTTCTATGAAATTTGATAATCAATTTCTCTTCAGTGAGTGAATTGGATAGAAAATTGGATGATTTTTTTGAAACATATAAGTAATGCTTAGTACGACTGCCATTCTCAGAAATGCGATAATTTTGAAGATTTTTTTTTGGTTGATTTTCAATCGCGGTAGAAAAATAATTTTTTTTATAAAAAGAATGGAAAGTTATAATTTACTGGACGAAAGTGACTTATGTTTACAAATACTAGGACTTCCAGATGTAGTACAAGACACTTATAATGATATGGTACCTTATTTTAAAGAGTTAATGGAAGATATTCAATTTCCTCAGTATAATCAAGCGGAAATAAAGCAAATTGAAAGAGAAATACAACAAGAGATCGATATTATAACTATTCTAGATATCCATAGATTCTATTTCCCATTTTATCCAGAATTACTCAAAAAATTAAAGAAATCCGATTATTTTCAAGCGAATTATCCTCAATTATTTACAAACATCATCCTGTATTCCTACTTGTCATGGTGCAGCTTCTATATCAAGTGTCATGACTCAGAATTTTTGATTATTTTATTAAATTGTCTACAGATAATAAATACATCAGATAATCAAACTATTATGAATGACTTCAAAGATTTAAGTATATCAGCGTTTTACTATTGCTATCAAATCATTTATCAATATTCCACAAATATTTGTTACGATAACTTGATATTTCCACTTGAAACATTTCTTACTAAAACAGAGTTCCTTCCACAAAAGGTTTACAACTTGTTAGGATTGCTTTCTCTCAATATTTTCGATGCGAAATCTTTATTATGTCAAAACAATCAAAAACAGTTCTTAACATTCATTACAAACCGAATAAAGTACCTTGGAGAATACTTTCCTTACGAAGTAATCGATTTAATTTCACAAAAAGTCGCAAGTTTGATATATAATTTGGATTTACAAGCTTTACACTATTTAAAAGAGTCCTCCAAGTACATGAGTGGCAAAATAATCACATTGTTCATGTCTCCTTTGATTCAATCATTAATTAAAGAAATAAATGATGAAAATACAAAAATTAAGCTGCCAGAAACCATTGACAACAAGACACATGACATTATAACATCGGATTATTCATCAGATTCCTTTTACAAACCTGTTTTCACAAATTTTGGTAATAATTTTAAATTTGTTACCGAGAAAATGATGAAATTTGAGATTCCTAAGGAAGAAGAACTCTTTTCTACAGAGTTTCTTGAGAAAATCAAGTTGATTTCGGACTCTTTTTCGTTTGATATTATAATATCCCAAAAATTTATTGACATTTTTGTAGAAATACTGTTTGAAAGTAACCAAACATGTACTGCACAGCAATATTTACTATTCTTTTTCATATGTTACCGTATAATTCAGAAACAAAATATATCATTGTCGACATTTACTGTTTACAATGCATATATATTCAATCCATCGGTAACCGTATTCAATCAGACCAATTATTTCAGGGAATTCAACATTTTAAGGTATTTTTCGGTTGATTTAGCTCTGAAAAGTTGTCAAAAACACTTAATGGAGATTTTATTGTCAATCCACATATATCCTTATTTGTTTTCTGAAGTAATTTTGAGGATTTCCACTTTAAATCTCAAATTATGTGATGAAGATGTAGATTCTTTCGCTCAAGGACTCTTTAATCCTTATCTTTCATATAGAAACTATAATAATGATAACAATTTCAGCATGAATTGCGCAAGAAAAAGCGTATTAATTTTATTAGCGAATATTTGTAGGGACAAACAACTTTTGAAGCAGTTATTTTCATCCAAACTGTTCTTGGAAAGGTTCTATTCATTGTTTTATGAAGAACAAACACAAGAAAACTCATTTGCTATTTTATCAAATTTTTTACAGAAGAATTCGGTGTTAAACAACGATTTCATACAAGAAACATCGAAGTTCATTGATTCTCTGTTTGTTTTCCATGAAAATTTTAATAATTTAGACGTAATTAAACAGATCTTGACGACAATCAACAAAAACATTGTTATTTCAGTGTCATTGAGTACATCATTCAGTTCTCTAACGGAATGTATATGTAAAAACCTCGTGAATCTTCCAAATTCTTCAAAATCTCTCAAAATTCTCATGGAAGTTGTCACTTTTCTTGCTTTCACTTCATCTGGCCACTCAATACAGATCAGGGAAATAGAAAGTGTGGAAAATACAATAAAAAAACTGACAAATGGGAATCCAACGAACGAAATCAAGGATAACTTGATACAAATCATAGCAGGAAGACATCTATCTTATATTTTACCTAATTTCGATATAATCCAACCAAAAGTTTTGTCACTTTTTGTCAAAGTTTTTTTGAATTCTGACAAACTTTTGGAAATCTTAGGTTTTTTGATTGATCTGTGTAATGAATCGTCTGAAAACTGTTTCCAATGTAATTACGGCGGTTTTGACATCTTTTTAATTGAATTAGTCGATCAATGGAGATTGAATGGTTTACAAAACCTCCAAGTTGTTACGAAAACTTTGGATTTGATTATAACAATTTTGGCAACTTATACTGATCCTATCGTTGTCAAACGGTTTATATCATTGTTGTCACTTTTTGATGACAAAAATTTACCATTTTTCCATGAACAGATAATTTCTGCATTTAACAGACTCTTATTGAAGACATCAAGAATTCCAGCGGTTTATTTGAATTTGGATGACAAAAGTGAAGTGACCATAAACGGTTTTACATCACAAGATTTTGGGGAAAGTCTGACATTATCATTTTGGTTGTATTACACTTTACAAGAGAAAATGACGAAACAAGTTTTATTTTTTTTAACGGACAATTCATATCATTCTTTGAAAATCTGTTTAAGGAATACTTTATTGAATGTAAAGATATATAACGATGATATAAGTTACAACAGGGATTTCGATTGCAATTTTAAAAATAAAAATTGGCATCAAGTTTCTGTTGTTGTACAAAAGGTTTCTGATAATGAATTAGGTTGCAAAGTTACTGTTTTCGTTAATGGAAAATTAGTTAACGTAATTTCAAAATTTACTTTATTAAAATTGAATGGAAACTTATCGTTTAAGGTTAATTCAATTTCCAACAAGTACAAAAATAATTTGACGATAGGAAGTAAGTTGTCGTCATTTGATATCTATAATTTTCCGTTTACAGAAGATGATAGCCTTCTATCGTTTGACTTTTGTCACTTTTCTCATTCAGGAAATCTTTTTCATTTCGAACCGACGCAAAACAAAGGAATCTTTGGTTATAAAATAATTTCTGACAAAACGGTCAATGTAAACTGTCAAATAAAAACAGTAAATCCAGATCCAACATTTTCGACGGTTTTTGTAGATTACGGAAACATAATAAACGTAATTCCGATGTTTTTACATTTAGATTTAGAAAACAAAAATCACTTTAAGTCAAATTTGTTGGAAGAAAATTTAGTTGATATTTTGAAAAATTGTTTGAGTTTGTCAGATTTTTGTCAACAAAATTTCCTTGAAATTGGTGGTTTTAAGACAATTTCCCATCTCCTTTTATCAACAAGTCCAAAACACTTGACTTATCAATTGTATGTTAGATTTTTCGGTTTATTACAAATATTGACGATAGAAAAATTGACAAATGAATTATATTCACAAATTTTGTTGAATATTCAGATATGGATAAGAAGTGACAAACAAAATCACATCAGAATATTGAAACATTGGAGTAGAACTATTTATAACCAATCTAATATTAATTTACCTCCAAAAACATTTTCTTTTTGTGATTTTCTAAGAATTTTGAGGATTTTTTACTTTTTCGACAAAAATGAAATCAAAAACCTCAAAAATCCAAAAGAAAACCACCTTATCCAAGAAACCCTAACTGAAAATACATCAAACAATGATGAAAAACAGCAAAATAATGAAAATAATATGAAAAATCCACAAATAAAAGAAGAAATTAAAAATAGTGAAGAAAAATTTTCAGAAAATAATGATAAAAATGAGCAAATTTTAGACGAAACCAAAAAGTTAAATGAAGAAACAATGATAAAAGAAGAAAATACAAATGATAAAGTTGAAAGTGAAGTGACATCGAAAAGTGACATTTCTGACCATTTACATCAAAACGAAGCTAAAATTAATGATGAAAATTTAATTGAAAACGTCACTTTTAATGAAGATAAAATTTATGTGAAAGATTGCAGGAGATACATTTACGAAATTATGACAACTTTTACTTTTAATTTGACGGAAAGCGAAATCATGGAATTTTTCACGGAAATTTTATCACTGAAAGATAATGAACAGAAAGAAAGTTTGTTGAGTTATTTATTCAACATTCTCAGCCAAGAAAATGCTTCAAAAATCAAAAATTTCATTCAAAACAATGTTACATTCTTAGTGACTTTGATTGATCCATTAAATGACTGTCAAACAGTTACAGTTTATAATATTTTGGCTGTTGTTTACAAAGATTCAAGAAGAAGAGAACTTTCTGACTTAATTTTCAAAATTTTGAATTGTTTTGATGGAAAATTTGCCAAAAAAGGTGTTTTAGAACATCTCAAAGTTCTTGTTAAACAAGGATTTACCGAATTCTCACCAATTGAATTTTGGACAGCAATAATTTTAGGAGAAAATGAGTTGAAATTGTTGATAAAAAGTTTTGACAATGAAAATGAATTTTATTTTGATGAATTTTCTTTGATTTATCCTGTTTTATCTTGTTTTGTTTCTTCGGATGTTGATTTGGTTTGTAACTTTTTAGTAACGAAATTTACCAAGAAATGGAAAGAAGTCTTTTATTTGATTAATTTATTCGGAAGAGGGTTGAATTTAATCCAAAAAAGTGACGAAATTCAAAATGTTTTTCTTAGTTTTGTTTTGGATTTTTTGATGAAAAACTGTTTGCCAATTTCACTTCACATTGCCGCTTTTCAGTTATGTTATAGATTTATTTTCTTCAGACAAACTCCTCAAGAAGGAACTTGTTATTTTTCAAATGTTGCCCTTGATTTTTTATTTTCGAATTCAGTTTTCTGCGAAAATAAAATTCAACTTAATTTTTTGTCAAAAATTAAAACGATCGAAAAACCGTCGAAATTGGCAAATTTAATTGATTCCGGAGAGGATAAATTTTCTTTTGGACTGAGATTTGACAAAACTGGAAAATGGGCCGATAGAAACCTATCGTCGACGATTATTTTTATGATGACTTCTAATTTGGAGAAAATTTTGAATTCTCCAATAAACATCATAAAAAGTGATAGTTTATTGTTGTTGTGCGGGTATTTGTACAATGATGATCCTTCAACTGTTAAAAACTTTCTTGACAAAAACAGAAAATTTGTCAGCAAAGAAAGTTTATCGTTTTTGTATTCAAAAATTCAAATTTTAACAAATGAAAAAGAGTTTGATGCAAAAATGAGTGATTGCCAGAGATTTATGGAGAGTATGACGGATTTACCAATGAAGAAATTTGATGATGAAAAGAATTATGGTGAATATATGATTGAATTTATTTCATCGATGTTCAAGAACTGTTTTGTTCTTCATACTAATTTTTATAACGAAAAATTGTTTTGTTTTATAGATCAAATGAAAGAGGAGAAGGAAAACAACAAGAGGCTTTGGTTAGAAATGTGGGAAAAGCTTAAAAATGACAATACTTCTCCTTATTTTGTTAATTTACCATGAATAAAAATATTATTGTTTGTGTTCTGTATTCTTTATAAATTTAATTTAATTTTTTTTATAATTATAGTCAATGCTCTTTTGATTGTATTACTTTATATAAATAAATTAGTTCCGCATTTACATAATATGGATTCACAAATTTAAGTAATTTGTCATTCACATACAAACTCACACTCATAATAATAATAAAAAATTTTTAACATAATAAACTTTTTATTGAGAAATCCAAAGAATGCTTAATGAAAAGATAGATAAAAAAGATTCATTGATGGACAAAATATTGATTTAACCCTATCATTACATATTTCAGAATCAATACGAGTTATTCTAGCAGCTCCATTCCCGGAATGCCCAATCTCTTTCCATTCATCAGGACTCTTAAAAGTAGAGTTTCCATCTAAGATTGTTGCATTCGTGAAAACAATTCCAGAATAGTGCTTTGGACTATTAGTGTGGATTCCATTCTCATTTACAGAGTTACATCCTTCAAATCCGCTGACATAACTCGAACCACTTGATGAAACAGAAACATATTCATTGTTTTGATTTACCGACTCACTCTTATCTCCAAATCCACCGTAGAAACCACCTCCGGCGCCAGATCCGGGTGTATCGGCATGAGATTTCCCATTTGCGCCGATTCCAAGAGAATTTCCAGCAGTCTGCGTAGTAGTGGATGGGGAAAATTTCAGATTATTGTAACCAGAAGTAATAAAACCAGTTAAATTACCACCTGGAGCACCATAACAACCAGAAACAGCTCCAGAACCACCAACAGCTACCATGATTCGACTGGCAAGCGATGCAACATCAGAGTCATTCACGAGTCTTACATCTGTTGCACCGCCGCCTCCACCACTGGGGTCGTCATCATGAGTATCCTTACCTCCATTTCCACCGCCATTATAGCCGCCCAAAGCATACGTATTTGTACTGCAACTTGACGGTTTCCCTCCTTGACCTCCAATATAAAGGTAAATCCTTTTTGTAGTTCGAAATCTGACGATTCCAGATGTATATGCACCTTTTCCGCCATAATTATTCGACATGTAATTTCCATCTTTACATCCAGTGCCTCCTTGGGCTCCCCAGAGTTCAATTAGGAATGAACCTGGGCCAACTTCAACTTCTACAGGACTACATTTATTTGTATTTTGGCACGGATATGTGTATAATGTGATAAGATCTTTTGTTGAGTTTAAATTTTACACGTTATTCAAAAAATAAACAATTCAATAACTATTCAAATTATCAATCCTTTATTATTATAAGAAAGATTTTTATATAATTATCTAATAATTTCAAATCAATTTGAATGCCTATTCTATTTGACCAGCTCACAAAATCATTTCAAAAGGTAGTTGAACATATAATTTGCAATATCAAAAAATTCCAAAATTTGATAACCTGATATGAATGCTTATATATTTGATTTTGCTGGTCTTTAGAGATATATCATTCAATCTGGACATTCACAAAATTTTGTGGTTTTTATTTTTCCATCCAAATTTGTAAAAACTAAAACATGTGTGATCTATTCAACGGACAAGTTGTTTCACTTTTCTTCTGTAAAGGTTAACAAATGAGAAAGGGACAGACTAGCCCATTGTCACTTTTTAATTTAGCAAATGAACGCTTATGGAGTGGAGTTTTTGGGTAAATCTGATTTGCTTATAAATGAAATAAAATCAAAAGAAACCATATTGACATTATATTATGCAAAAATAAATGATCTTACTTAGTACTTTTAAAGTTAATTTCAGAAAAAATTTGACACAATGGTATCCGGCACATACAAGTGGTGTACAACCAAAATATAAGTTGGTTTAAACATATATTGCTATTTCTCATGATCTTACTTAGTACTTTTAAAGTTAATTTCAGAAAAAATTTGACACAATGGTATCCGGCACATACAAGTGGTGTACAACCAAAATATAAGTTGGTTTAAACATATATTGCTATTTCTCATGATCTTACTTAGTACTTTTAAAGTTAATTTCAGAAAAAATTTGACACAATGGTATCCGGCACATACAAGTGGTGTACAACCAAAATATAAGTTGGTTTAAACATATATTGCTATTTCTCATGATCTTACTTAGTACTTTTAAAGTTAATTTCAGAAAAAATTTGACACAATGGTATCCGGCACATACAAGTGGTGTACAACCAAAATATAAGTTGGTTTAAACATATATTGCTATTTCTCATGATCTTACTTAGTACTTTTAAAGTTAATTTCAGAAAAAATTTGACACAATGGTATCCGGCACATACAAGTGGTGTACAACCAAAATTTCATATCCCTAGTTTTACATTTATGCTTAGTTTTATTTCACCTAATTTTCAAAGATCATAATTGAATTAGATGGCCAAGCTATTCAAAACACGACCAAGCTTATCAAAATAAGACCAATATATTCAAAATTCTTTATTCTTTCAAATCATTTCATTTTAATGCAGATCCAAGATCAAGAAATCACATATATCGAGTTGCTTAAGTATGGAGTGCAACAAGAAATCCAAGCAGGTTGTAGTTATTCATATAAAACTAGGAAAGAAAGAAATCAAATCCAATTTAATTGTAAGTGGCCGAATTGTCCATGTCGCTTCCATGTTGATACACTTCCCGATGACAAGTACCACATACGAAAATGTATTAACACCCACAATCATTCTGCCCCTTTTCCAAACAAATCACAACAAATTACATCATATTTTTCTAGATCTTATTTAACAAGATATTTTGAATCAAATCAAGACCGTGTTTACGCACAATTAAGGTGTTTCAAAGATCTTAATATCCCATTTGATAGTGGGATCATTCCGGAAATGTTTCAACAATCTACAGATGCTTTAAAAAAGTTTTCTAAACGCTTTCATGCAATCAATACCCGTTTCTCAGCGGATGATGTTACATCTCTTGCAATTTTTGTCGACATGGTTAAGAGTCATTCTCCAGATGATCTCATCGAGTTTATTCATGAGCCAGATCGTATGATTTTCTATTACGCCCCATTCGAAGCAAATGCTTTTTCACATCAAATACAAACTTATCACATTGATTCCACTTATAAGCTCTTGCGCTCTCGCATACCATTTTATGCCGTCACTGGCAAATTCGCGGAATCAATTGTTTTTCCGTTTTTGTATTTTTTCGTTTGGCCCGACACAAGTGAAAATATACAAGTTTGTCTCACAGCATATTTTGGCTCCATCAATCGCGAACCATTTTATTTTTCAATGGACTGCGCACCTCAAATCACAAATGCTGTTGAAACAGCCATCCCCTTATGCCAGATCATTTGGTGTGGCGTTCATGTGTTGCGCGCTGTCATGAGAAAGGCTGAAAAGTTTCAAGATCGTTCCAACTTCGAAACTTTCTATAACTTAATGAAGTTATTGGTCTTTGGTTCTGAAGAGGAAGAAATTGATCCTGATGAAGTTTACAACAATTTAGAAGAAATTTTAAATGAGGAACCTGCTGCCCGTGAATACTTTGACCGACAGTGGCGCCATCATCTTGACAGGTGGATGCTTCGCTATAGAAATGAAGGAGATGGAACAAACAACATCTCGGAATCACATTTCAAGGTTTTGAAGCACCAGTACTTCCCAGAAAGGCGAAATCTTCGACTCGATGAACTTGTCATCGAGTTATATTCCAGTGTTGTTCTTTCATTCCTGATTAAGTTGCAAATTAAAGGTCTGGATTCAGAGAGAAGTGTTAAAGTTATCAAAAAAGTCACAAGAGATTTCGAAGAAATGACACAATTTAAAAAAGTCGAATGCATCAGTATGCTTGAAGCTGTTCAGAAAGGTCTGAAAAATGATACACTTGATCCCAACATTGTTTACTCAACATTAAAAATATTATTGCAAAGAAAACATTTGATTTAATAAACATTTAATTTATTATAATTAATTTTTTATTACAGTATAGTAAAAAATGCTATAAATAAATTATTATATTTTATTAAAATGTGACTTTTAATAGTAAGTGAATAAAATAAATCAGGAATTGGGAAAGAAATAAGGTTAATTAAAAATAATGAAAATTACAAGTTTAAGGTTAATGAAAAAGTGACAATGAGTGAGTTTGTTCCCCACTCTTAACAAATTTAAAAATCACTTATGTACAATAATGTTAATAATAAAAGAGTAAATATAAAATTAGTTTAAAGAAAATATAAAGGAATAAAGATTCATTGATGGACAAAATATAGAATGAATGCTATTAAAACATTTGTCTGGTTCAACAGGTGTTATTCGAACAGCACCATTACCTGAATGTCCGACTTCTCTCAAATAATCAGGACTTCGAAACTCTGAATTTCCATCAAAGATTTGTGCATGAATAAAGACAATTCCAGACCAATGCTTAGAACTATTCGTATTGACGCCATTAATATCAACAGAATTACAACCTTCATAACCGCTGACATAACCTCCTAATTTTGTAAAAAGTTTACTTGTGGCTCCAAACCCACCATAAAATCCTCCGCCTGCACCTGAACCAGGTGCATTTACATGCAGACTTCCATTTGCTCCGATTCCAAGAGAATTTCCGGAGGTTTGGGAGGTATTTGAGGGAGCAAACTGCTTACTATCGTAACCAGTAGTGATAAAACCTGTCAAATTACCACCTGGAGCACCATAACAACCATAAACAGCTCCAGAACCACCAGCAGCTACCATGATTCTACTGGCAAGTGATGCAACATCAGAGCCATTCACGAGTCTTACATCTGTTGCACCGCCGCCTCCACCACTCGGATCATCATCACGTGTGTCTTTACCTCCATTTCCGCCGCCATTATAGCCTCCTAAAGCATACGCATTTGTGTCACAACTTGACGGTTTCCCTCCTTGACCTCCTATATAAAGGTAAAGCCGTTTTGTAGTTCGAAATCTGACGATTCCAGATGTGTATGCACCTCTCCCGCCATAATTATTTGACATGTAATTTCCATCCAAACATGAAATGCCTCCCTGGGCTCCCCAAAGTTCAATTAGGAATGAACCAGGGCCAACTTCAACTTCTACAGGATCACATTTAGTTGTATTTTGGCAAGGATAGGTGTATAGTGTGATAAGATCTTTTCTTTAGTTTGTTGTAGTAATCGTACATTGTCTGGAGAACTGTGTTTGCCTGTGTTGTCAATCCTAAGATTGAGTCAGACTCAACAGCTGGATGTCCGTTTGCGACACCAATGATTTGGTTGACAGACAATGCAAGCAAATTGATGTAAGAAGCAGTGCCAAACATGTTGTTTGCCTGTGGAGCGTTCTCTTTGATGAGTGTGCCGATTTTCTCGTACAACAAGAAGAGAATTGTTGTGTAAGCAATTGAGCAAAGCATGATGAAGACGAATGCAATTGCAAGCTGTGCGAAATCACCAACAGTTCCAGATGAATCTGATGCAGTGACGAAAATCTTAAGCAAGTTTTCTTCTTGCTTGTTTCTTTCGCCTTCAGATTGTTGTGTCTTTGTGCCTCCTAAGTCTGTGTTCTTCTGCAACTGTCTCAAGTTCTCGTTGATAGAAGAAACGACGTTCTTTGGAAGGGACATCAATGTCTTGTAAATTGCTGTCTTATCATTGTTAAGTCTCTTCCATGAGATAGCAATGATTGCGACGAAGACAAGCAATAAGAAAATAGCAACACCAATGATGCACCAGAAGAAGATCTTGTTCTTTGAGTTGATGTCATCATATATGTAGCTGACAATGTGTTCAATTGAATCAGTAATAACTGTGACAACGTTCAATGCGTTGACAATTGGATTCTTGAACTGAGATTGAGCCAATGTATTATTGGTGATGGCCTGCTTTGTGTCAGCAATTGTTGATGCGCAGACAGAGAAGTCACTGATAGCGGACCGGAGGGATTTCTTGGAGTTGTTTGTTGGAATTCCATCATTGTAAGTGATATAATTAATTGAATCTGTGAAAATTGTTGTTCTTACATGATCGAATTGTTCTGTTCCACGTCCGTATTCTCTGAAATCGTTCATTGTGATTGATTCGACATTCTGCATTTGGAGAAGTGCAGACAACTGGAAAGGAATGCTGGATGTATCCTTGAAGGCTGTGCACTTGTACTCAGGAAGTTTATTGTTGATTGCGGCTGGCCAATAAGAGAGGTTGTTGTAGACATAAGCCATGGAAAGTGTTGGAATCATGGATACGTAATATCTGGAGAAGGCAAGAGCATCGATAAGCTCAGCTGGCTTACGGATACTGGATGAATATGTCTTTGCAACAGCTAACATGGCAATTGCACCGCCAAAGAAGATTATCGAGATAATGAGACAGATGGCAATGACCATTCTGATGGAAGGAATCTTAAGGTTGTCGATAAGCTCCTTAATGGCACGTGAATCTTCTAATCTCTGCTCATTGAACTATTCTTCGTTCTCAGAAGTCATGAGGATGGAGCCGGACATGTCACTCATCATATTCTTGTTGGCATTCTCGGCCTGGTTCCATGCGTTGACTGGTAAAAGTGGGAAAGCATGAAGACCAAGTTCTTGGGCATGATCGGAGTGAACTTGGATACCACGGGACATCTTTCTTGTCTGTTCAACAACTTCTGTATAGCCTTCTGCATCGTTCTTGACTTCATACAAATAACGGCTATAAGATCTGAAAATGAACCTGTTGTTTGGATACTGGGTAAGGAGAAGAGCGAACTGGGAATCGGACTTAAGGATACTTTCATAAGCGTTAGAAATGGCTGAATCCATTTCACCGATGTTGCCTTGAATGACCTGATCCCAGATGTGCCTCAGACGACGCTTGCATGCACCTGTTTCCTTGGAAATCTTCTCGATCTTGCGCTTGAGTTCGGCTGTAAGGTTCATTTCTCTCTGCTGGAAGATAATCATGGACTGAGCAAGACATTCCTTGACGAGTGTGCCATGGAACTTCTTCTGATTAATTGTTCTTACGATGAACATGTGTAAAGATGAAGCTTCGGGGTAGATGGCGACAAATTTACCAAAGGTAACCCAGTATGCTGGCTCATCTGGCCACTGTTGTGTGATAAACTTGAAGAGAGAGAAATCGATGGAGACTGGGTGCGCGTAGTTGAAGCCAATAACTGCTGCCTTCATTAATTTCTTCGGGTTCGAAAATTCGTGGAGAATACTGTTATCGTCGTTAATATCATCAAGAAGCATTAAGTTCTTGTTGACCTGGCGACATGTGATGAAGAATGATATAAATGCGCAAACAGCGAAGACAACGAACCATGCTAAGACAGTGGCTGTTGACATCTTAACGCTAACGAATATCAAGATAGCGAATATTGTGTGAGCGAGACCACCAAAAATACCATGGGTGTAGAACATGGTAGTATGGGTGAAAGATACAAGGGAAAATGAATTTCCGCATGTCCAGAATGTGCTGAGGCATCCAACTGCTTGTAAAAGTTCAAGAATGCCTTGAGGTATTTTTGTCAGATAAGTGTTGATACCACTGAAAAAGCCAATTAACGCGATAGAATAGATGATAAGCATCTGTGTGAAACCATTAACGCAAAGGAATGATGTTGGTCTGAACAAGAATGAGTACGAATAAAGTGTTCTGAAGAAAACACAGTAAAGGGCATAGGTAATGACCGTAAGGATAATCGTAACGACATTAAATGGTGTGGAGAAATGGGTGGTTTCCTTTGCAATTAACTTTGAAATAACCTCACAGCAAATTTCAATAGCGGGGAAGTGCATGAGGTAACCGAAAGTTGAAAAGAATATGTTAATTATATAAATTGGGGCCTTTCCAATCTTACCACGCTTTTGGTAGTAGTAAGAAGCCGTTACCAAAAGGATGAAGAAACAGAAGAACATGGCAAAATAGATAATTGCGAAGTAGAATGATGCTTGATCGCGATATGTAATTGGAACGATGTTCCAAATAATGGAGAAAATGTTTAAGAATTTGAAAATGTAAGTGTCTCTGTCATAAAAATTGAAGTAGTTAGAACAAAGTATGGGTCCAAAGAATTGAATAAGACGCCAGAAAGAAATGATGGAATGTAATGTATACCATGATGGAACCATTGAGTCCATGTATACAAAAAGGAAAGAAATCATGTTCCGTAATTTCTTGATCTTGCTGCTATGTAAGAGACCTTTATATTTATATGTTGCTGAAAACGCAGATGAAAGCATTTTCGAGTGCTCACTCGAAGCGTTTTCAGAGGCGTGCATCTAAAAAAATTTTATGTCTATTCAAAAAATAAAAAATTCAATTAGTATTCAAATTTTTAATTCTTTATCATTCAAAAATAACATTTAGATCAATAACTGATAAATTGAAATTCATTTTTGGGCCTTAATTCTGTTTGATACGCTCAAAAAATCATTTCAATAGGCCAATCGTTTTCTATAAATCGCGAACATTGATAGCTTTCAATCAATGCGCCCATATTTAATTGTAGAATGCGATTAATTCATCAGGAAAATACCCATATACAATAATGTTAATATTAAAAAAGTTAATATATAAATAGAGTATATTAACTAATCCAAAGAAAGTTTAGAGAAAATATAAAGGAATAAAGATTCATTGATGGACAAAATATAGAATGAATGCTATTAAAACATTTGTCTGGTTCAACAGGTGTTATTCGAACAGCACCATTACCTGAATGTCCGACTTCTCTCAAATAATCAGGACTTCGAAACTCTGAATTTCCATCAAAGATTTGTGCATGAATAAAGACAATTCCAGACCAATGCTTAGAACTATTCGTATTGGTTTGAGCAACTCTTTTGCATTTTTGGCAATACAATATTACAATTCTGTATTTTTTTTTCAGTATATTACAATTCCAGATGTATAAGCACCTCTCCCACCATAATTATTCGACATGTAATTTCCATCTTTACATCCAGTGCCTCCTTGGGCTCCCCAGAGTTCAATTAGGAATGAACCTGGGCCAACTTCAACTTCTACAGGACTACATTTATTTGTATTTTGGCACGGATATGTGTATAATGTGATAAGATCTTTTGTTGAGTTTAAATTTTACACGTTATTCAAAAAATAAACAATTCAATATCTATTCAAAACATATAAGTACTATTATTATCACAAAAATTGTGTGATTACATTTGACATTAAATTCAATTGAATCTTAATTTTTACGATTTTTTTGAACAATCTTCAAAAGAGAAACTTTATAAAATTGAACAAAAAGTTACTCATATTGATAAAAAGACAATATTAAATATATCAATTAACAATGGCTTCAAAAATATACAAATTTATTATTTATTAAAATTATACAAAATTTATATATCACTGTCTATGAAAACTTCCTGTTGATGTTAGATATGATTGAACAGGATTGACTAAGTAAGTCATTTGCTTTCCCTTACCTTTCAAGAACGTTTCTACTCTTGCAGCAATGTCGAAACTCATACCTTTGATTAAGTCATAAGTTGCTTGACTGATATGAACATGGTTTGCTTCATCTGTACTTTGAAGACGAGCTGCAACATTGATTGGATCACCAATGATGTCGAATGCTGGTTTATCGGTACCTAAAACACCTGCAATGATTGGACCACCACTGTTCACACCAACGCGGATTGTAAGAGATGAATCAAGACGCATGTTGATTTCATCAAGTTCTGCGATGGAATCAAGACCAAGCATGACTGCTTGCTCGGCATGTGATTCTGGAGATGTTTCTGGATTGAACAAACCAGCGGCAGCCATGTAGATGTCACCAATGAGTTTGATCTTAGTGACCATGTTGTACTTGCTAGCGATCTTGTCAATACCTGCAAAGTACAATGATAAGTTCTGCATGATGTCTTGTGGACTAAGGTTGACGGTGTACTCTGAGAAGCGAACAATGTCAATGAAGATGATTGTTGCTGAGTTGACAGTGAACGTGATATCTTTCTCTCCTCTGTTCAACTGTACAACAATATCTCTTGGCAATATCTGATACAACAATTTTTCTGATTTGGCCTTCGCTTCTTCTGCTTGCTTCATTTGATGAACAAGTGCAGTTTGATCTCTTACAATGATTGCAAATGAGTTCAAGTCATCGTTATTATGATTCTTGATTCCGACTATTGTTACATGACATGGGATCTCCACATTATTATCTGTTACTGCTGTAAAATCTTCTTCTGCAAATGTTGATATCTGTCCTGATCTCATCATCTCAAGTTTATTTGTGATCTTATCTTCATCAGCACTTGTGAAGAATTGAGAAATATGTTGTCCTAATATTTGTTCAGGCGTGTATCCAATTAATCCTTGTACAGACTTGTTAACAATCTCAACAACACCAAATACACTTGTCAAGAATATCGAATCTGTTGCATTAAGAATAATCAATCCATCAACTGATAATCTGTCATCCTTTATATCTGATTTCGATTTCAAGAATGTTTTACTGAAGAGTTTATTGTTGACAAGCGTTGCTGGATTAAATCTCTTTGATACGAAGCAAACAGCTTTATATGCTGAAGCTCTATTAGTATAATAAAATGATACAACAACTACGAAACTTATTAATAGTATTGTAACACATACACCAATAATTATAATGTTTTGCAATATATCATTATATTCCATGTCTGCTAATTTGATCATTCTCTTTGTGACATTCATTAATCTCATCCACATGTGAGCATTGACAATGTGAATTGAGTTTGCCATAATAAATGTGCTCACATTTTGATTTTGATTTAGAAGATCATTTGCTAATTGCTGAACAAAGCCACGATACACATCAATCTGTTGATGAATACTAGTTTGAGCATAGAAATCGTGGGGATCTCCAATTTTAGGTTTAGCTGGTTTATCAATTATATTATATTGATCTAATTCTTCATCGAATCCTTTGCATGCAGGGGTGTCTTCAAAACCATTGACTAATTTATTGTCAAGATCAGCTAATTCCTTTGTCAAAAATAGAGAAAGATTAACTAACTCAGAAATACTTGTCATTCTGTTTTGTTCTGGCAAATCATGCATTGCCAAAGAATAAATCAAAGCATACAAGGAAGAAGCTGATGATGACAATCTTAATGATGCAAATTGATTCCATGAATTCAAATTGATAATGTTTGTATTTGAATTGACTACCAAAATACAAATAATTAAAGAACAAAGTAAGAATCCTAAAGAGATAAACAATATAATGGTAATTAAAATATAGGATACACGACTTGTTCCTGTCATTTCAACAATTTTTGTATCATCATCTGTTGCATGGATTGTTATCAGAGCTTTTGCATCATTTTTAGCTTTGACATCAAAACCTTTGATGATTTCAATAACATCTTTGAGTGATTTGATTGTTAATATATGGATAACAATCACAGGAATGAAAACGGAAACAAAAGTTTCACATGGAATTAAAAATTCTAAAATTCCGAAGACTCTTTTAAGATGATTTCCTTCAGATCTTTGGAAATCACAGAAAGAATCAAATAAAACTATTGATTGTTCATAGAATGCATTGAAATTGAAATACAACTCGCAGTAATTTGGATTACTTAAGAGATATTTGACAGTTTTGTTTCCACTTAATTCTCTTTGATGAGAAATCATCATTCCGACTAAAGATGAAAATGATTCATTTGCTATCGCTGCAGGTTTAGCATCAGCATCGCAAATGACTATTTCTGTTACAGGTTTTATCAATGATTTGGCGAAATCATAAATATCTTCACCTTCAAGAGCCAATTGTGCAACAGAATTAATGAGGTTTCCAAATTGAATTGATGAGTTTGTTGTGAATATCATTGTTTCTCTCAACATATCAGCATCAACATTAATGAAAACAGGATCAGTTGATCTCATTAATCCTCTCATTGCAGGCATATAAGTATCCAAAACATTATGTTCTCTGATGAATTCTAAGATCAAATCAGCATTCGCAATTGAGGAATAAAATGTGATTTGAGATATTGAATCCAATCTTTGTAATGATCCTGTTTGTGTTGCTAATTGCCTTTCAGAATAAATGAAAGTAAAAGCAAAGATAGCAATGACGCAAACAATAATAAATATTGTAGCAGGAATGATCGATTTGATCGAGTTTGGAAGTTTGTTTTCTAAAGCTCTGTGTAAAGCAAGTCTTGTTCTTGATTGGTATATTGTTTGTTTACCAACCATTTCTTCTACATCAAGATCTAAAAAGTTTTCACTCATTGTTGAACTATTTTGGCTTCCGCTTGTTTTACTTTGATCTGTTGATGATTGACTACCTTGACTAGATGCAAGTATTGATTCTTTCTTTTTATCATTGACTGCACCTTTAAGATCTAATATCTTTTTGGTGATATATCCTGGAAAAGCTCTGACCATTGATCTAAAAGAATAATCTATTGAAAAACTTAAGCCCATTTCAATAACTTGTGCTCTATGTCTAATTTTGAGGCCTTCTGGAAAATCACACTCGCATTCAATAAGATAACGGCTGAATTCTTCACAGAATTTCGGATTATTTGGAGCATTCTCTAATGATTCTCTCCAAACAGCTCTGATCATATGTGCTTTGTTTGCAAGGTTCTCAAAGTAGTTTGGTGTCAATTTATTTGAATCAACGGCTCCTCTGGTCAACATCTCGCATTGCTTTGACATGTTTTTCAGCTCAATAAGTTTCAGTTTTGATTGGGAACTCACTGAAAATTGACGTAGTGTCTTTATACTGTCAACTTGGTAGATCAAAAATCTAGTTGTGAATCCAATTTTTCTATGAGTCAGGATTAGACGCTCAATTCTATTAAGAAGTCTTGTTTCTTTCGGAAAATAGTTGACTAGTTGCAAGCATGTGCTCAAAGCAAGTTCTCCGTTGAATTTATTGATGATAAAGTTTACCAGAGACCAATTGTAGAAGCATAGACAGTAGTTTTGGAAGCCAATTCTAAGATACAATAATGCTTTGATCTCATTCTTATCAAGTCCAAGGGATGTGTAATATTCGCTTGCCTCTTCTTCATTAGAAAATGTTTCTTGGAGTTGAGAAATAATCTTTTTGACTCTGAAGATATGATAGATAAGAAAAGCAGGTGTCAAACCAATAAAACACCCGAATGTTAAACCTAATGGAATATTATAATTGAATTTCTTGACGAAATAAGAGATAATCATGATAACATCACCTAACATATTAGAAAATTGCCATCCACACGATAATGATTGCGACATAATATCGACGAATGGAATTCTTCTTAGAATGTATATAACGATATACACGTACATTGCAAAATGTAAAGCTATTGCAACAAGTCTTGCCCAGTCTTCAAATAATGCCAGAATGAAGTATAATCCTAGTGATATCATGATTGCAGCTAAAGTAATGATCATAATTGATGGGTCAAAGTTAAGTAGAGGAGAGACATTAACGTTCACTGATTTTGATGCAAATCCCTGAACAATTGCGAATGAGAATACTTCATATGCAACATTTATGAGATATAACAACATGGAGACAATTACTTTATACGATGTATATCCATGACACATTAGCAAAAATGTTTCTCCCACTCCAATTATTGATGGAATTAAAATTACGATAAGTATTGTGTCAAAATAGAATCTAATAGGATAATTAAGCACGTTGATAAAATTTCTTTGCACTTTGAAATATGCCAATTGAAATCTAATCAAAATAAAGATTATCACATTTATTGCGAAAATAACAAACGCAATAACGAAGTAATATCCAGGCTGAGGTGGCTGAGGAATATAAAAAAAGATCGATCTTAATAGTTTCATTGTACCTTTTGTATCGTTAATTTCCCAATATGGCTGCCATGGCCAGTTTGTAACAATAACAACTTGAAGAAAGAAGAATACTAAGAATGGGTAAACAAATATGATTGGAATATTGGCTTGCTGGAAGACAGCTGTGAATAATGGAAACATTTCATCGATAACTTTGTTTTCATTTTGAACCTGGACTCCATTATTCATGCTTTCATTCGATATCGATACAGATACAGTTGCTGGATTCTGCTGATTGTTGTAAGCCATTCAGTTTGCTATTTTGTTATTTTGTTAAATCTTTTTGTTTTCTATCTGCCCTCAAAAAATAAAACGAAAAATATTGTTTGTATCACTAATTATAATATAATTAATCATAAAAAACACCACGAACTAATTGAGAACTAAAAATAACAGAAATATAAAAACATTTTCCGGAATTATCACCGAGCAATATTCTGTCTAAGGATGTTAAAAGGCCGATTCAATGAATAAAAAGATTTCAATGATGGAATTAGCAAAAGAAATCAATTCTTTCGATACACCTTCCTGAGAAGATTAATAATATAGGGATATTACAAATTTGTGACAGTTCAAACAATTTCAAAATGTTGTCTTAAATATTTGAAGCATTCAAAAATTGAGATAAATTTCACAAAGGATGATAAAAATCATATCATTGATTCACTACACATCAGTATTCAGATAAACAAGTTTTGAGAATGATACTATCTTTTAGAAAACTTTTGAATGGAGATAAATTAAATATAATAATTATGAGATTAACTGTACATCTATGTTAGATTTAAATATACCTCTATTTGGAAAAAAGCATTCAAAATTATTTTCAATAGATCTATTGGCAATTTTAATTTATTTTAATCACCTAATAATATGAATGATAATAATACAAATTATTGGAATTAACAATGCTTTGAAAATTTGAATGTATCGAAATTATGAATTATCGATGTAAATATTTTCTATTTTCAACTATTTTAATAATTATTTACTCTTTTCTTTAAATTGGAAATTGCCCATCAAAAGTTGTTATAGGATGCAAAAATCGGAAATTTACAGGTTTTTAATCCATTTGCTTCGATTCGGATTATATTTCATCAGACGTTGCATTTACCAGATAGCAATCAAGGAATTTTTCAGATTCTTCAGTAAGTTTTGAACAATTTTGCTCAACTCAACCTTTAAGTTAACTTTATGGTATAGTTTAGCAAAAAACTAATTTGTTAACAATATTTATCTAAGTATTTGTTATGATTTTAGTTTTATTTATTTATCATTATTTTTGAGTTTGTTTTCAATAAGTATTTTAACGAGAATCTGTATATAAATCAATGTGAAATTGAAATTTATTAGTTCCAACTAACTTGCAACTAATTAAAGTCTAATCTTTGTCATCTTTTATTTCCTGCTAGTAGCGTCTAAAATAAGAACAGAATCTATGCAACATATCTGCCTGAACATAGTAAATACTGTCAATCTTTACAACTATAAAAGTTTCGCAATTGAATTTGGCGATCAATGAAATAATGAAAAATTAGAGTTCTTGTTTCGAAATAATTTTCCATAAACACCTATTCTACATATCTAAATATCTTTCATGTTTGAAGATTTACTATGCAAATTCTTGATATGATCCCTAATAACAATTCTTTAATAATACGATATTATTCTAATTTTTACAGTCTTTGGTAGATAAATTGAAGAACAATCGTAAGAACTGTAAATTATAAATTTTCAATTCAACCTTTAAATTTTATAAATCATGATAAATCAATTAGATTACTACATTTAATTATTTTTATACTAAAATTTATTTGCCTGTAATTACAAATTGAAAGAATTGAATAAATTGAGCTCCTTTATAGAAAATTATAGATTCATTAACCCACAAATGTTTAACATACACGTGTCTTGAATAAAAATATAACTCCTTATCGATTAATCTCATGACCCTCTATAAGTTTTATACAAAATTCAATAATTGAAAAGACTCAAAAATGTACAGACAGAAAATAATATTAATAAACTTTAAAAGTGCGTTTAACCGTGCTCTTGAGGCAAAATTAACTTAATATTATAGTAATCTTTATTTTCAAAGCATTTGAAATGGCTCAGAAAAAAACATTTTCTGAGGATTAAAATTTATTTATATTTGAATAGTGATTATATATCTTGTTCAAATTTTGATTTTATTTTTCTATGCCGCCACATTTCACATTGAAATTATCTTGACGTACATTCAAAAATTGAAATGATATCGTCTCCTTTGAAATTTGTTAAATACTATTCAATAAATATTGAACCTCAATTCAGAAAATTATATAGCAAGAGTTAGTTTCGATAAATCCCCTCATGACATATAATGGAATATTTCTCATTATCGGAGATAATTTTAGAAAATGAAAAATTCTGATCTCAAAGTTAATGATTATGAAGTATTTGACCGGGAAATAATAATAAAATATTATCATTAACGATGTAACGAATTTTCATCTCAAAAATTCAAATTATATAGTTTCACAAAATACAAAATGACTAATAACAACAATAATGCACCACCAACACAACTATCAGCTTCAATGTCAACTGATTCGACTCAGCAGAATACAGATGTATTAAAAGGATCATCGATTATTGATGACATGTTTCCATTATTTACACATGTCTTTCAACAGGTAGATATTCCGTTGCCTCTAGTTTTCCCATTCCTTCTTTACTTCTTTTCACAGGTCATTGCAGTTTCTTTGTGGCCATGGAACTCATATTGGAAAGATCACGACGAAAATCATATTGTAGAGGAGGTAAGATTAGTTTTCTTCTGGATACCTAAGGATGCAAATTCAACTCACTTCGTAATCGTTTCAACAGTGTTATTTGCTCTAAATTTAATTTCGTTAATTTTAATAATCTTCCAAATTGAATACTTCAAGATACAGAGAAGCTTTATAAACTTTATCAACATTCCAATAAGATTCTATTTTGATACAATCCTCTTAGTAAGTTTAACCCCGACTACAATCACAATTGGAGAGTCGTTTTTATTAATGTGTACAAACGAATTTCACGTTCAGTATGTTATATCAATCATCTTGTCCGCCTTTTCTCTTGGTTATGAATTATTCTCATTTACGATTGTTCAAAGTTTCGCATCCAAATCTATTGCTATCAGCAATTCACTACTTCTTAATTTTGATCCAAGTCTCATGATTGAATGTATCGGTGGTATGATAGCATCAACTTTATTATACTTTATTTTAGCATTGTTTGAACCATGGGCAAGACTAATAGCTATAGCAATGCATGCTGCATGGTTTGCTTATATGTGCCAATATATTACAGCAAGATTACCTTTTGTTGCTCAACTTTCATCCGGATTGTCACTTTCTTGGTATTTAGACAACATTTTTGGAGATACTTTAATGATAATAACACATTTCTATAGAAATGTCAATCAATGGTTCTTATTTGGTTTTGTATATCTAACATTTCTAGTAGGTGCGCCTCCATTTTTGATTTATCTTAACTACAAACAAAAGAAAATCGTTAAATTGATGAATGAAGATCTGAAAAATCAGGATGATGCGAATGAATATTTCATATCTTTAGGGTTATCTAACAACAAGGTAAAAGTATTGCTATATTTAAGGACGGCATTTCAATTCAATTGTACTTGCTTCTATAATTGGACGCTTGTCAAATTTATAATTGAAAAGTACACAGATGAAGCTGTACTAAGCACATGCTTACATTTTGTTAACTTCTTTCCTAAAGAAACACATTTACTGAACAGGATTAGGCACATTATATTACAGACAAGGAAGATCCATTTTGCAACAAGATTTTTATTGTATCAAGTCGAGAACATTAAAACACTAAGAAACTATTCAGTCAGTAGCGCATCAAAATTAAAGATTATTGAACTGAAAACTATGTCAAAACAATGCGAGATGATGACAAGAGCAGCCGTAGATTCAACAAAGTTAACACCGACATATTTTGAGAACCTTTCTTACAAAGCGCGCATGACTAGAGCTGTTTGGATGGAAGCGCTGCAGAATGCACCAAATAATCCCAAGTTCTGTGAAGAATTTACGCGATACTTAGTTGAATGTGAAGCAGATTTTGATACAGCAATTAGAATGAAGCACAGAGGACAGATTATTGAGATGGGAAGGAGCTTTTCAGTCGATTATTGTTTTCGCTCTATGATAAGGGTCTTTCCAAACTATTTAAAGAAAGAAATTGTTGATTTTAATGGAGCAATTATAGACCAAAACAAGAGAGTTGCTAATAAAGCATCAAATTCTGTATCAGCTAACGGTTCAAACGGAGGAAACTCGAATGACCAATCCTTCGGCAAAAGTGATGACGATTTTGACAATGAAGTCGAGGAATTTGTAGCCAAACAATTACAAATTCAAGAATCAGAATTGCTTTACACAGAACATTAGAAACTAAGATTCCATCTTCAATAAAGATGATAGTTCCTACGTCGGCTATAATTTTAGTTTTAGTCTTTGGAATTTTCTGTTTTGGTTACGCATTTTCAGCTGATTGGCTTTCTGGCCAAACTTCATCCATGAACAGACTAGATTACATTTCACAGACAAGATTTTACATTGCACTGTCTAATGTTGATTTAGTCTTGCAATACTCCCAAGAACACGGAAAGCTACAATACTACATAGATGCGATGAAAGGTCTGATGAGAAGCACAGATCCAGTTTTCATCAACGTTTTAGATGATATGCTTCGAGAGATGCTCTTATTTACAAATAATGCATCCACAAAATTCCAAGAACTTATTAACAACATAGCAGAACTTTCATTAATTGGTGAAGATATATATTCCTTCGCGGGATCCCTTCTTAAACCCGAGAAATCAGTTTATTCATGTGGAGGTCCTAGAGGTAAAGCAGGTTTATATAATATATCAATATCGGGATTGATAGCTATGTCCATTTCCCATCAAAGAGAGTTCGCTGGACGTGATTCTGTTTATAATTTAATGAAAGAACCTACATACTGTGAACTTTTCCTGAATTTCCAGGTTTTCTACGAAGAAACAACAGCTTTATTCGATAAAGTATGCGATTATCAAAGGCAGAGTCTGAGGATTTAGATAAAATTTTCATGATTCTTTCGTACATTATTCTTGCATCGATATTCTTCATAGTTGTCGTTCCTGTTGTTGTAATACACTTCAAAACAGTCAAAACCCTCAAGGATATCATAGCAATGATTCATAGTTTCGATCCTAAATCGAAATCTGAAGCCAAAGCATTAATTTCTGTTTCATCACACGATGATGATACAAAAACTGCTGAGATGCAAGGAAATAGGCATGGATCAATTATATTAATTTCAATAATTTTCTTCATTTCATTAAGTTTCCTGTTTATTTCACTTATAATGTGCCATTTAGTTGTTCAAGCTAACAATAGCATTATCAAACTGAATGGATGGAACCAATATGCAAGTTTAAGGCTTAGTTTATCCGCCGAAAGTTTAATGCTGCTAATTTTCTCAGTTGCGATGCATGATATTCCTGAATCACGCGTTTTAGGATCAATTGGAGTCTTAGTTAATATGTCACTAAAGATCACAAACCAATTAGTTATAGCAGATTTGAATCTCACTCATGGAACAGATGAATTCCCACCTTGCGCAGGTTTTGACAAAATTTTAGACGATTACAATATTATTGACAAACCAACGAAACCTGTTATTGGTGACCCTCATGATTTCTATGCCCAAACATCAATTCATCAACAAATTGACGTTTACAACAGTTTTGTTCAATCATTAGCACAAGATGTATTGAAATTGGATGAACCTGTTAGTGAATTCCATATGGCAAACTCGATCCATGTTGTCAACGCTCATTTATGGATGAGGATGATGAATGTTACAAAAAGATTGATCAAATTAGCTGATGTTGAATACCATTCAATGTGTCAATCAATAGTTATTCTGGCTGTTATTACAGCAGTTTTAATGATCGCTTTCGAGTTAGTTGTCTACTTCTATTACAAGAATAGAGTTGGAGCTTATAGGCCAAGCCTGTTTGTTCTTAAAAGATTTCATCCAATGACATTAATCAACAACAAAAACTTTGCCAAATTTTTCTTGAAATCGAAAGATGTCTCAGAGAATGAACGATTAACTGTTGAAGGATCGATTATTCATAATGCTAATGACGCCATTTTCTGCACAAGTCAGTATGGAGTTGTTGAAGTTGTTAACAAGTCTGTTTCACAACTTCTTGGGTACACTTCTGAACAGATTTTGGGTCAACACGTTACAACGTTCTTTGCAACACAAGATGAAGAAAAATTCCAATCGAAATTGGAGATGATGAAGAGTGGACAAATATCAAATTTCTGCGAAGAAGATTTCTTGGCAGTCACTGATTCAGCAAATGAAGTTCCATGCCATGTTTCAATTTTCGGAATGAAGTCAAACAATGGAGATATCAATTCATTTGTTGTTATTTTGAGAGACCAAACAAGTTTAGTTGAACAAATGAAGCAAGCAGAAGAAGCAAAAGCCAAATCAGAAAAACTATTGTACCAGATCTTGCCAAGGGATATCGTTGTACAGTTGAACAGAGGAGAGAAAGATATCACATTCACTGTCAACTCAGCAACAATCATCTTCATTGACATTGTTCGCTTCTCAGAGTACACCGTCAACCTTAGTCCACAAGACATCATGCAGAACTTATCATTGTACTTTGCAGGTATTGACAAGATCGCTAGCAAGTACAACATGGTCACTAAGATCAAACTCATTGGTGACATCTACATGGCTGCCGCTGGTTTGTTCAATCCAGAAACATCTCCAGAATCACATGCCGAGCAAGCAGTCATGCTTGGTCTTGATTCCATCGCAGAACTTGATGAAATCAACATGCGTCTTGATTCATCTCTTACAATCCGCGTTGGTGTGAACAGTGGTGGTCCAATCATTGCAGGTGTTTTAGGTACCGATAAACCAGCATTCGACATCATTGGTGATCCAATCAATGTTGCAGCTCGTCTTCAAAGTACAGATGAAGCAAACCATGTTCATATCAGCCAAGCAACTTATGACTTAATTAATGGACTCAGTTTTGACATTGTTGCAAGAGGAGAAACTTTCTTGAAAGGAAAAGGCAAGCAAATGACTTACTTCGTTAACCCTATACAAGTCGGCTTAACAAGTACAGGTAGTTTTAGAAGACTTTCTGTTGGATGAATTAATCTTTATATGTAAATAAAAATAGCCAAATGTTTCAAACGAGTTTTTATTATTTCTGCTATATTAAACTATAATTTCATTGAAATATAATTTAACTTTTTTTTTTAAACTAGAAAATTTTGTTAAATGTGAAGGATTTTTGGCACACTCTATTTTTGATTAATGTTGTATTAGTTTCAATCTAGATTTTAATGAAAATTTAAAATGTAATATTAGAGAACGAGTCGTTCCATATATTTTGGCTTTAAATAAAATTCAACATCCTGTTCATGCATTAAAAACCCATGCATTTTTCTAAATTTGAATAATTGCATGCAATTTATACTAGTTTTCATTACAATTTATTTTTATTCTTTTTTAGTCAAAATTTACAGTAATTGATTTTGTTTTACTTTTTCTATGTTAATTCACACCTGTAATTAACATATTAAGAGTTAACTTATTATTGGATTGAATAATATGTTTCAATTATGCTGGATGATATAAATAAAAAACTTTTATTCAAACTTATCAAATATCCCACAGAAATTTTGTGAAAGTCTTTGACTAACTAAAGTATACTACCTATCATATGTAAAATCAACTAATTCATGGCTTGATTATTTTATACGTTGAATCCCTCGGCTTCTTTCAAATTTGAATTAATCTGACATAATCCTTTGAAATATTTATTTGATTGAATACTTTACATCAAAATTGAAAGCAAATTCAACCGTGCATGGTCGCTGAAAGAGTTATAGCGAATTGTTCATAAATTTGATTGTAAAATATACTTTATTAGAATCTAATTTTTGAGACAACAAAAGTGAATCCATTTTAAAATATCAGACCTACAAAATTTCATTGTTTAAAGGTAAATAAAAGTAATATGTTTCATTATCTTTTTATGCCTGACTCTCAAAACTTTCCTTAAATACGATAAATTTTCATTTTAATAGCTGATTGTATTAAATGTTCATATTTGTCGATTAACCGGACTTTTTTTTGAATGTGCAAATATGACGCAATCTTGCGTAATTTGCCAGAATGTTCGCTTTTTTGATTTTTTCTTCAGCCCAAAAAACTTACCAAGGCTGGCAGAGCCAACCAATACAAGAAGCAGCTCAAGAATCATATAATATTATCGAATGCCAGTTCGTTGGAATTGGTGGCGATTCTTCTTCAAGTGCCCTATGGTTACATGGTGGTACAACATCAACGTCAATATATTTGCTTGCCACATTATTCCATAGTTGTAAAGCAGGCCAAGGTGGCGCATTCAGTTTTACAGACAACGCCGATTTAAGGTTTTTCTTGTGCTGTGTTTCAAATTGTCAAACAGGAGGCAATTCATACAGAAAAGGAGCTATTGGATATGTAGTTCTAAAGAGTAATGTTCCAAGATTCGAATATTTTACTGCTAATTCAAATTCTGTTGGCTCTCGCAATCTTCACGTTGAATCAAGCCCGAATTTTGTGAATTGTAACTTTTCTAACAATATTGCTGATAATGGAAAGGAAAGTTACTCTTATGGTAATATTTATATTTATAATAATGGTGTTCAAACGACTTATGGATACTATTTTACAAATTTTTATAGAAATCAAAGCCCATGTTCCACAATATATCATGATTATTGCCAGACTCTATACATTAATTCTTGCAATTTTTTGGAAAATACTGTTACTGACTATGCCATGATATATTTCTGGTATTCATGGTACGCATATATAAAAAAATGTGTAATTAAAGGAAATACACTTGGAAGCACATATATTGCCGATAACAAACGATATTCACAAGGATGCGAATTTTCTGATTGCTATTGTGACAACAAAAAATTTGGATCTGGTTGCACCACGAAAAACTGGGATGAAGAACTGGATCAGAATTATATTTATACTTATTATGCAACAGCAAATTGTCAGGCTGTAAGACCTTATCCAAGAAGATCAAATACATTTGCACCAACACCTTATCAAACAGCTTTTCAGACACCATTCTTGACAGCAGCGAAGACACCATTCTCAACACCATTCGGAACAGCTTTCATGACACCATTCAGAACTATGTCATCAACACCTTTCAACACAGAAATAGCTACACCTTTCTACACAGAGAGTGTCACACCATTCAACACATTTTATATGACACCATTCAGTACAGCACACGAAACACCTGTTGTCACACCATTCAACACACATCAAACAACACCATTCGAGACACAATTCAGTACACCAAATGACACTCCATTTAATTCGATGTTCGAAACACCATTCGACACATGTTCCTCAACACCATACGAAACAGCTTTTGAAACACCATTCCAATCTGCATTTGAAACAGCATATGAAACACCATTCCAATCTGCATTTGAAACAGCATATGAAACACCATTCCAATCTATGTTTGAGACTGCTTATGAAACTCCAATTATCACAGAAGCAGAGACAGCTTTCGAATCTCCATTCGAGACAGTTTTCGAAACAGCATCACAAACAGCTCTCGAAACAGTATATGAGACACCATTTGAAACAGCATTTGAGACAGCATATGAAACTCCTGTTCAAACAGAAACAGTATATGAGACACCATTTGAAACAGCTCATGAAACTGTTTTTGAAACACCATTCGAAACATCATACGAGACACCATTTGAGTCAGCCTTTGTTACACCATTCAATACAGTTTTCGAAACAGCTCACGAAACTCCATTCGAAACTGCCATCGAGACACCATTCAACACTGCATCAGAGACAATGATTATCATTGCACCAGAAACAGCCTTTGAAACACCATTCCTTACCTCATTTGAAACCCCATATGAAACTGCCTCATCAACACCATTTGAAACAGCATTCCAAACAGCTGCACAAACAGCTTTTGAGACTCCATTCGTTACTGCTTTTGAAACAGCATATCAAACAGCATTCAAGACTCCATTCGATACTGCAGGTCAAACAATGAGTGAAACACCATTTGAAAGTGCATTTGAAACACCATTCGTTACTGCTTTTGAAACAGCTTTCCAAACTCCCGAAATCACACAAAATAATGTTCCTCCAATCGATCCTCAACCATCCGAAAATGAAGGCGACCCAGATAAACCAACAGAAAAACCATCCGAAAATGAACAAGGTAAACAATCAGAAAAAATTCTGCAAATGCACCATTCCATTCAGTAAGTTCTTCGACGAACAGTGGAAAAATTCAAGAACAGCAAACTACAGAAACAGCATCAAAGAGCAAATCATGGATTTACATCTTAATAGGTGTTGTTTGTGTTCTTGCTCTCATTGCAATTATTGTTGTTGTAGTTGTTCTGAAAAAGAAGAGTGATAATTCTGATTCCCTTGAGACAGAACCTGCTGATGACAATCCAGAAACTGTGATAGGAGAAGATGAATTTGCCGCAGAAGGCAACACAACAGATGTCTTCAATTTGACGTCCTCAATTTGTGGTGATAATGATCCATTTAATGTCGGTTCGGACTTAGAAAGTGATTCTGTTAACGAAAATTATGTCTTTATATAATAAAATATGTATAGGGTTGTTAAAAATATCAAAAATTAGCGTTTTGAAGACACCATGGTGTCTTATAATTTTCCCTTCCTTATTGGCGTGTAGAAATAAATGCGCCAATAGATTGAAGAAGAAGAATTGTTTTTCTCTTAATGAACTTTAATCCTTTTGATATAAGAATATTAAAAACATTAATATAATTTCGATTTCGGAAATTAAATTTCCAAATTTTTTGTCGATTTCGGAAATAACAGGATCCCGCATCCAACACGCAACAACAAAACACAAAACACACTTTTTGGTTCTTTCATCGTTTTAATCGTAATTTATGTAATACATGATTTGGATAAATTTTACAAAAATAGAACCTATATTATATTCTTTTCAAAGATTCTTGCAAATCATCAAAATAATTGTATTTTAAAAAACGATCAAATTATCCTTTCATTATTTTAAACTTAAATTAGTTTTTATGATTGACTAAAGCAATCATATTTATTCATCATTAAATAAACAAAAAAATAATATTTGAGAGTTATTTCAAAAAAAAACACATTGAATTTATTAATATGTCTCAATTTCAGTATTATAAATTTTTATAATTTCAATATTTTGAAATACACTTTTTAATATTTCAATATTTATGATATTTCAATGTATTAAGTGGTCTCAAATTGAGCTTCTCAAATATAAGTTGGCCTATTCAAATAATAAAATTAAATAATATTTAAAATAATAAATAAAAGTGATTGAGGTCATAGCAAAACGGCTGTTTCAGTCATTAATTCTTAAAATAAAAAGGGTAAAAACTAAATAAAATGGGTAAAATTCAATAGTGTCTGTGCTATCGTTCAATTTGAAGGTGTCTTTTGAAACCGCAAGACACATTGAATTTTTGAATAGGGTATTGTGGTTTGACAGACACCAATGAAAAAAAATAAAATGATATTTATTTTAAATATATAAGATCCTTATATAAAATATAAATATTTTATCGTTTTATTTTCTTGTTTTAGAAATGTTTTTTATTGAAAAATCAATAAAACTAACTCCAAAATAAAATTTTTGATTTAAAGACACTATGAAGACACCAGGCAAATCTTCCAAGACACCTATCGTCGGGAATCTAACAACCCTAAATATGTATATGTTGCGTTAATAATTATATTTTTTTCCCAAAAATTATTGAATAGATTATTATAAATATTTCGATCTTGATTTATTATAAGAAAGGCGAAGATATGGAGATGTTCAATTTCTTTGAAATAAAATTAGAGGGATATGTCTCCAGAATTTCATACCAAGCAAGCAATCATGCCGGGTCTTGATTTTATCGCAAAACTTGATGAAATTAATATGCGTTTTGATTCATCTCTTACAATCCGAGTTGGTGTCAATCAGTGTTTTAGGTACCGATAAACCAGTATTCGACACCATTGGTGATCCAATTAATGTTGCAGCTCATCTTCAAAGCACAGATGAAAAAAAAAAACATATTGAAACTCACCTTCAAAGTTTATAATGTAAATTGAAAGATGTACCAAGCTAATTGTAAATGGTATGAAGAATAATCTAAAATTATGTAAAATCAAGAATCGATTTTTATAATATCAAAGTTCACTTTATTGAATTGTTATGTGATATTATTATTTTTGAAAATATAGCGCCATATAGTACTATTCTATTGTTGACATGATTTAATTTGAGATAATAATTTATAAATTTATTTTTAACGCAAATTGATCTAATTTTGCACCATAAATTTATTAACTATATATATTTTTTTACAAAAAAGTTAAATCAATATGAATTTAATGGAAATCATGTTAAATCTCGCGGAATTTAGTTCTTATATGATTGTTTGTCGTATACATATTCAATCATAGCATGACATTTTAACTTATGAATTCACTGAAATGAAGGCCTTTAATTATTCTGCCACAATCCTCTCAAAAAATGCTTATTGAATAAATAATGGTCACTAAAAAAGTTGAGATATAATTAAATATATGTCCTATTTTTTAATTTTTTATAAGTGTATTTAATTTTTGATAGAGAAAATTGAGACACTTTCAAAATATAAGACCAATAGTATTTTAATATTTAAATATAATTTAAGATAGATTATTTTGATTTTTTTCCGCTGATTCTCAAATTATCTTTAAATTCGATAACTTTATTTATATTAGCTAATTATATAAATTATACATAATTGTTGTTTACCCAGACACTTGATTTTGAATATGCAAAAATGACGCAATCTTGCGTAATTTGCCAGAATGTTAGCCTTCCTAATCTCTTCTTCAGCTCAAAAAAATTATCAAGGCTGGCAGAGCCAACCAATACAAGAAGCAGCTCAAGAATCATATAATATTATCGAATGCCAGTTCGTTGAAATTGGTGGCGATTCTTCTTCAAGTGCCCTATGGTTACATGGCGGTACAACATCAACGTCAATATATTTGCTTGCCACATTATTCCATAGCTGTAAAGCAGGCCAAGGTGGCGCATTCAGTTTTTACAGACAACGCCGATTTAAGGTTTTTTCTTGTGCTGTGTTTCAAATTGTCAAACAGGAGGCAATTCATACAGAAAAGGAGCTATTGGATATGTAGTTTCTAAAGAGTAATGTTCCAAGATTCGAATATTTTACTGCTAATTCAAATTCTGTTGGCTCTCGCAATCTTCACGTTGAATCAAGCCCGAATTTTGTGAATTGTAACTTTTCTAGCAATATTGCTGATAATGGAAAGGAAAGTTACTCTTATGGTAATATTTATATTTATAATAATGGTGTTCAAACGACTTATGGATACTATTTTACAAATTTTTATAGAAATCAAAGCCCATGTTCCACAATATATCATGATTATTGCCAGACTCTATACATTAATTCTTGCAATTTTTTGGAAAATACTGTTACTGACTATGCCATGATATATTTCTGGTATTCATGGTACGCATATATAAAAAAATGTGTAATTAAAGGAAATACACTTGGAAGCACATATATTGCCGATAACAAACGATATTCACAAGGATGCGAATTTTCTGATTGCTATTGTGACAACAAAAAATTTGGATCTGGTTGCACCACGAAAAACTGGGATGAAGAACTGGATCAGAATTATATTCATACTTATTATGCAACAGCAAATTGTCAGGCTGTAAGACCTTATCCAAGAAGATCAAATACATTTGCACCAACACCTTATCAAACAGCTTTTCAGACACCATTCTTGACAGCAGCGAAGACACCATTCTCAACACCATTCGGAACAGCTTTCATGACACCATTCAGAACTATGTCATCAACACCTTTCAACACAGAAATAGCTACACCTTTCTACACAGAGAGTGTCACACCATTCAACACATTTTATATGACACCATTCAGTACAGCACACGAAACACCTGTTGTCACACCATTCAACACACATCAAACAACACCATTCGAGACACAATTCAGTACACCAAATGACACTCCATTTAATTCGATGTTCGAAACACCATTCGACACATGTTCCTCAACACCATACGAAACAGCTTTTGAAACACCATTCCAATCTGCATTTGAAACAGCATATGAAACACCATTCCAATCTGCATTTGAAACAGCATATGAAACACCATTCCAATCTATGTTTGAGACTGCTTATGAAACTCCAATTATCACAGAAGCAGAGACAGCTTTCGAATCTCCATTCGAGACAGTTTTCGAAACAGCATCACAAACAGCTCTCGAAACAGTATATGAGACACCATTTGAAACAGCATTTGAGACAGCATATGAAACTCCTGTTCAAACAGAAACAGTATATGAGACACCATTTGAAACAGCTCATGAAACTGTTTTTGAAACACCATTCGAAACATCATACGAGACACCATTTGAGTCAGCCTTTGTTACACCATTCAATACAGTTTTCGAAACAGCTCACGAAACTCCATTCGAAACTGCCATCGAGACACCATTCAACACTGCATCAGAGACAATGATTATCATTGCACCAGAAACAGCCTTTGAAACACCATTCCTTACCTCATTTGAAACCCCATATGAAACTGCCTCATCAACACCATTTGAAACAGCATTCCAAACAGCTGCACAAACAGCTTTTGAGACTCCATTCGTTACTGCTTTTGAAACAGCATATCAAACAGCATTCAAGACTCCATTCGATACTGCAGGTCAAACAATGAGTGAAACACCATTTGAAAGTGCATTTGAAACACCATTCGTTACTGCTTTTGAAACAGCTTTCCAAACTCCCGAAATCACACAAAATAATGTTCCTCCAATCGATCCTCAACCATCCGAAAATGAAGGCGACCCAGATAAACCAACAGAAAAACCATCCGAAAATGAACAAGGTAAACAATCAGAAAAAAATTCTGCAAATGCACCATTCCATTCAGTAAGTTCTTCGACGAACAGTGGAAAAATTCAAGAACAGCAAACTACAGAAACAGCATCAAAGAGCAAATCATGGATTTACATCTTAATAGGTGTTGTTTGTGTTCTTGCTCTCATTGCAATTATTGTTGTTGTAGTTGTTCTGAAAAAGAAGAGTGATAATTCTGATTCCCTTGAGACAGAACCTGCTGATGACAATCCAGAAACTGTGATAGGAGAAGATGAATTTGCCGCAGAAGGCAACACAACAGATGTCTTCAATTTGACGTCCTCAATTTGTGGTGATAATGATCCATTTAATGTCGGTTCGGACTTAGAAAGTGATTCTGTTAACGAAAATTATGTCTTTATATAATAAAATATGTATAGGGTTGTTAAAAATATCAAAAATTAGCGTTTTGAAGACACCATGGTGTCTTATAATTTTCCCTTCCTTATTGGCGTGTAGAAATAAATGCGCCAATAGATTGAAGAAGAAGAATTGTTTTTCTCTTAATGAACTTTAATCCTTTTGATATAAGAATATTAAAAACATTAATATAATTTCGATTTCGGAAATTAAATTTCCAAATTTTTTGTCGATTTCGGAAATAACAGGATCCCGCATCCAACACGCAACAACAAAACACAAAACACACTTTTTGGTTCTTTCATCGTTTTAATCGTAATTTATGTAATACATGATTTGGATAAATTTTACAAAAATAGAACCTATATTATATTCTTTTCAAAGATTCTTGCAAATCATCAAAAATAATTGTATTTTAAAAAACGATCAAATTATCCTTTCATTATTTTAAACTTAAATTAGTTTTTATGATTGACTAAAGCAATCATATTTATTCATCATTAAATAAACAAAAAAATAATATTTGAGAGTTATTTCAAAAAAAAAACACATTGAATTTATTAATATGTCTCAATTTCAGTATTATAAATTTTTATAATTTCAATATTTTGAAATACACTTTTTAATATTTCAATATTTATGATATTTCAATGTATTAAGTGGTCTCAAATTGAGCTTCTCAAATATAAGTTGGCCTATTCAAATAATAAAATTAAATAATATTTAAAATAATAAATAAAAGTGATTGAGGTCATAGCAAAACGGCTGTTTCAGTCATTAATTCTTAAAAATAAAAAGGGTAAAAACTAAATAAAATGGGTAAAATTCAATAGTGTCTGTGCTATCGTTCAATTTGAAGGTGTCTTTTGAAACCGCAAGACACATTGAATTTTTGAATAGTGTATTGTGGTTTGACAGACACCAATGAAAAAAATAAAATGATATTTATTTTAAATATATAAGATCCTTATATAAAATATAAATATTTTATCGTTTTATTTTCTTGTTTTAGAAATGTTTTTTATTGAAAAATCAATAAAACTAACTCCAAAATAAAATTTTTGATTTAAAGACACTATGAAGACACCAGGCAAATCTTCCAAGACACCTATCGTCGGGAATCTAACAACCCTAAATATGTATATGTTGCGTTAATAATTATATTTTTTTTCCCAAAAATTATTGAATAGATTATTATAAATATTTCGATCTTGATTTATTATAAGAAAGGCGAAGATATGGAGATGTTCAATTTCTTTGAAATAAAAATTAGAGGGATATGTCTCCAGAATTTCATACCAAGCAAGCAATCATGCCGGGTCTTGATTTTATCGCAAAACTTGATGAAATTAATATGCGTTTTGATTCATCTCTTACAATCCGAGTTGGTGTCAATCAGTGTTTTAGGTACCGATAAACCAGTATTCGACACCATTGGTGATCCAATTAATGTTGCAGCTCATCTTCAAAGCACAGATGAAAAAAAAAAACATATTGAAACTCACCTTCAAAGTTTATAATGTAAATTGAAAGATGTACCAAGCTAATTGTAAATGGTATGAAGAATAATCTAAAATTATGTAAAATCAAGAATCGATTTTTATAATATCAAAGTTCACTTTATTGAATTGTTATGTGATATTATTATTTTTGAAAATATAGCGCCATATAGTACTATTCTATTGTTGACATGATTTAATTTGAGATAATAATTTATAAATTTATTTTTAACGCAAATTGATCTAATTTTGCACCATAAATTTATTAACTATATATATTTTTTTACAAAAAAGTTAAATCAATATGAATTTAATGGAAATCATGTTAAATCTCGCGGAATTTAGTTCTTATAAGTACAGTATACATTGTGCGTCGCCTGTAGCCTACAGCTACAGGCACCGACACAATGAAAAAAGTGACAGAAAACTGACACCATACGGGCGCGCATATGTACGCATATATGTGTAAAAATAAACGTTCATATGTAAACTAACCTTTATTCACTAGCAGGGGCTGATAAATCATAATCGTCGAGAAGTACGATAGGTGGCCCCACAGGTTTAATCTGTATGGAGAGGCAAACGTGACGTAAGAAGCATAACACTGGTTTCTCAGTATATTTAATAGACTCTGCTGTTGGCTTAACTGTAAGCTTATATGTAATAGGTGAATTAGATAACTGACCCTGTTGGAATGTATAATCAGTTTCGCAAGGGAATCCACATAGGTAATGACCTAAGTCATTTGACTCGATTCCAAATTGAGGGACTGATGTGGTTGTGATAGACCTCATGACATCATAGTTGAAGCCAACAGTATCGTTATTATTGTTAGTGGCATTTGCCTGCATCTCATAGAAGATTGGATCATTAGATGCTTGAGCCTCAGCGGGTATGTTACCATATGCTCCACAGTTCAATTGAATTTGTTCAAACAATGGATTTTCATAGGTAGTGTTATAATTAGGTGTTTTCTTAAATAGTGTATAAATGGTGTTCACATATAATGGAGTAAATGCTGCCGTGAATGTACAAGGAGTTCCTTCACCTTTAGCCATTGAACCATCCATAGTAATGCAGTCAATTCTTTTGATTGGGAAGTTTAGAGTCTTTGCCGAATATCTTGTCACCAAATCACTATAGATGTTAGGGTCCAAAGAGAATGAGTTACAGTATGTAATCATTTCAAAGAAGTTTGCATTCTTCTTAGTGAACTTAATAAACTTGGTACCAAATGATATCGTACTCTTATCGGCATTCCAAGTTACAGTATCAATAACTTTGATACCTTCATAGATAGGAGTGAAGTGATTAGTGATTGGAATATAGCTTGTAACATTGGCTTGCATGTTCGGTAATGGTAGAATATCCTGATAACTTAATGGTGTCCAAACCATACCAGCAATACTGAACTTAACCTTAAGTTGTAAGTTACCAGCAAACGCTGGAAGGAATCTAATGTTATTAAGTATTAGGAATCTTCTTAGGTCAATCTTGATTGGTATGTGGAACTTTAATGTAGTTGCACCACTAATTGGTTTATTGAACTCAATAATCTGTCCAGAACGAACTGTATCACATCTATTGAAAACATCTTTATGTCTAGCCTTACTAAATACATCAACTTTCTTAATAGCTTCTGTTGTAGATGCAGTAGAAGTAATGTAACCTTCTTCTCTAGCATTATCTTGTGTATAAACACTTTTACCATTAGCGATTAATTGATATGATTCAACAGCATAGAATGAATCAATGTATCCCAACCAAATTGCTGGAAGATGTGCACATGATTTGCCACCAGCATATTTAGTATCAATTGCTTTAATTGCTGTAACATTTGATCCTGTAGGAGCTGTCTCAACAGCTCTTTCTTTATATACTTCACCATCATATTTAGGAACTTTTTCATCAGCTGGTTCAGTTTCTGTTGTAATTATGCACTCACCATCGACATAACCACTAATGAACGTATTATATAAGTCAATCATGTTCTCACCAGGTGGTGATATGTTAAATGTAATATAACCGTTATCAATAGTATTTGTCGGCATAGCTGGCACTTTTGTTGGGACATATCTATGGTTAGTATCTCCAATAGGAACTGCCCCATCAACTTGATCGAAATAATATCTTACTTGTCTGATGGAATCAGCAATACTGTATGTATTGAGGTTATCGTTCAACATCTTTCTCAGCTATAAAAAATTTACAATCTTCTTATTCTTGGGATTATTCGTCTTATTTGTGGCTGAGGTTTAGGAGGTTCTGGTTCAGGCTCTGGTTCATCATCGAAGTGTATTCTTTTCTCTTCCATTGATTGAACATATTCTTGATTCTCTTTAGTTTCCTTCTCACGTTCAATTGGGTCCATGTTTGGTTCATTAACTACACTGTTACGTTCTAATATCTTTGTCATCATCTCTAACAACATTTTATTAGTATATGCTTGTTCTTCTTCTTTCTTCTCATCAACTTTAGGAGCTTCTTGAACAACAGGAGCTGGGGCAGGAGCTGGTGAATTCAATGGTGCCTTTCTCTTTCTAACTTGAACTGAACCATTCTTCATATGACAAACATAATATAATGGATGTTGTATTCCTTTAGCTTCATTCAATATGATTGATTGCTTTTCACTTGGTGAAAGTTTTGACGTCATTTCTATCCTAATAAAATTTTTTACTCCTAACAAAATGACTGAGAATACTTTCGACAGAGAAGCACTCAAGAATGAACTTCGTGAAGAAATACTTAATGAACTCAAACCAAAAGAACAAACACAAGAAGAGAAACCAGCTAAACCAAAGCGTAAACTCACAGAGAAACAATTAGCTGCATTAGCAGCTGGACGCGCAAAGAATCCACGAATGATTGCAAAGAAATTGAGAGAAGAGGAAGAAGCTAAGAAAAATAATAAGTAAGTGTTTAGAACTTTAACTTACGTTCAAAAGATGACTTCGTTGAAATAGTGAAGTCCTTATTTTTGTTGAAGCATGGTTTCGAACCAATGCACAAGTCAAAGGTTATCTCATCACCTTCATAAAGAGATTTGTACAATTCCACGATGCTATATTTTTCCCCAACTTTCTCAGGGAAGAACAAACCTTTCTTCTCGTCATAATGTACTTGTATCGCATCTGGGAACATTTGGTTTGCAGTAAGTGCAATTACGTCCTGTGTGATTCCCTTCATTCGACAGTGGAAAGCAATTTCCTTGAGGTCATTGGTTAATTCGTCGAGGTAAGTCTTCTTTCCAACGAATATAGATCTTTGTGCCTTAGACATATGTCCTGCAGTAATCTCTGCAAAGTCTGAATGAAATTGACCCAGTGCTTTTCCAATGAGTTCTCTGTTATACCTTCTCTTGTATTCTTCTGCTAACTTATCTAAGTCCTTCTCATACAAGTGTAAACTATCTGTATCCTGATAGAACAACTTCAAGCCCAAATCTTCTGCTGTGAAGAATACTTCATTCATGATTCGTTTGGACATAGAAAGGATTGAAACACC